TCATTTTTTCTCCTGCAGTATAGATTACTTTTCTTAAGTTTCAAGGTTTTTTACAAGGGTTTGTATTGCTCTTAACAGAACTGACGCATGTTTTGATGTGAATGATATTTGAACACGTATAAGCCTATAGTAGTGTTCAAATTTAGAGGTTTCTTTATTTATATGTTTACTCAGGTGTTAGTTTAACTATATCAAGCAAGACGGCACAGATTCGCGTCCACTCTGACAATGAATAAGACTCTACTCCTTGCAGTGTGCTGCTGTTTGCTCATCCAGGCCAATGGGGAACCCATCTTTGGGATCCTCCGAGGAGTGGCCTGCGGCGTGGGTAAGGTGATCCAAGGTGTAGGAGAAGGTGTCACCGACGTCATCCAAGGAGTTGGTGATGGAGTTGTTGGTGTTGTTGGGAATGATTATTACTACGATGAACAGCAGCAGGCAGCCAGGCAACCTCAACAACAGCCTGCTCAGGGAGGAACCACAGTCATACAGATCCAAGCATCGCAAGCTAATCAATAGTGTAATATTACTATATAACTTTCCATTATATTAAAAAAAAGAAAAGTAGAAAGTTGTTTTATTTATCTTCCTCAATGAAGTAAATATTTTTTCAACCAAAGAGTTTCTCAAATATAAGTATGTCAAATAAGGACACCAAGTTTAATAATTTTAACAAATTTTATTCTTCAATAAAGAATAATGTTTCACTATGCTTTATATTAAAATCTTTTAGTTACATTTGTTATTTCTCTTTCCAAAATCTAAGAATTTCTTCTGGATATTTAAAGAACTTATAATGTGCTACTTTATATTTTTTATTTATTTATTTTTATATATATTTTATTACTGCATAGAATCATTTTTATTTTTATTTTTTAATTCCTTTTTTTATTTTTCACTTACCTATATATGTAATATATAGTAAGGGTAAGTATTTCGATCCTGAAAAGTTTTGAATCTGAGTTTTCAACGGAAATACACGTTTTGGTGTACCCGGAGTCCAAACAACCAAATCCTGAAAAATAGTCTGTGTGTATGTTAGCAGTCTAGCTCAAAAACGAAAAGTCGTACGAAACTGATATTACTTATTTAAGATAGGTATATATTGAATGTGACAGCAACTTTTCCCTTAAAATCGGCTAACTGTAAGTGCCACTTTATATCATCGGTGAAACACATTTTTACGATTTTCTCAAAAACTGCTTTAACGATTTTTATAAAACTCGGTGTATCATTGTATAATTAAGTGATATTTAATACAATTTAGGTCATATTCCCATTCATGTCATTTTACAGAGCATCAATGCTCAATGTTCATGTACGTCTTCCTCTACAGTACCTTTAATATGGTTTATTTAAAAAAATTAACTCACTTTTATTGACAGTAACTATAAAAAAATGGCTAAGTATGAAGTTTGAAAGAATATGATTGGAAGATGATTGGAAACTGGAGAAAAAAAAAATGCTTATACAGGTCGAAAATGAATCTCCATAAATAAGAGTCAGAATGTATATATATAATATATCGTTGGAAAGCGAAGAATTTTAGAAAAAAATAATATCAAATAAATAAAATTGTAGAAGGTAACGGAGAGTGACATAAACAAATAGAAATAATAATTTACCAAAACTAACATTATTTAACGTAAATCACATGTTTCCAAGGAAATTAAATGAAATTTTCTCACTAAATGTAACCATTTAATTTTTTTTCTAAGTTTGAAAAGAACCGAATCAAGCCAATGCCATTGTTTAAAATACTATCTCAATATAGATAGATAGATAGATAGAAAGTAAACTTTATTCTGGGACAAGGTCCCTTATGAATAACAGATATGAACAAAAAAATAAAAACTACATCTGGCCAAAAATTACATTAATCAATATTAAAGAATATATACAGTATTAAGTGATATTATACTAGTGTGAATGAAGAAGTGAAATATAAAAATATTTCATGGATATGTTTATATCCTTAAATACATTCACTGTAGTTTAATAACTCTATATATGATATCATATTTAAATAATTAGGTATCTATCGTCCGTTTATCTCAAAAAATCATCCTTTTAGTTACTAAGTAACCTTTTAGAAAATTAAATTAGTAAGTAATTTGATGAATTTTCCCTTTGTGAAACCCAATATTATACACTTACAATTAGTGTGACAACTTTTGACCTATCCATGGCTGGCAACGAAAATCTCGTAATTTCATTTTAGTAAACTTTACAATGGAAAATAACAGTTTAATAACTAATAGTCCTTCAATCCATAATCATTTAAATATTCAGATATACTTTCAAATCTCTCGGTGTATATATGAGCCTTTCGGTTGACAGAATGACTAACTCCAATTTAAACATTCTTTATTGTTAATTTTAGTGATGTTTCTGGTGGCAAAATGTATACGTTTATTCACAGTTCAATATTTCAACACTGCAATCACCTACTCTGGAATCTACATACTCACTCACTGTATAGATACAACTTTTTTCAATTAGAAATATCACTAAAATGACATTGCTCAAAAATTTTGAAATTGGAGTTAGTCATTCTGTCAACTGAAAGGCTTATAGAAGTTGTGTGGTTTATAAAATCAGAAGGAGTAACTATATTTTCATTGCCTACCGTCGATGTAATAACTAGACGTTTTCTAATTTTAATGGTCTTAATGATCTGTTATCTGTATGCTTTAGGCTTTAGCTGGGTTTAAAATGCACTTCAAAAATTTTATAATAACTCACCATTGCCAGAAAAAAATTTCTGTTCAAATTAGAGCGGTAAGTAAAAGATGTGTGTTGTGCGCACCAGATTTTTTTTTCTTCCTGTCTTTTCTCACAGGCAATACGGGTTGTCGCAGCAGTGCGGTATTACGCAGTGTATATGCGTATGCGACTGCTGGCTGTACAGGTCTATTTTATTAAAATCTTTAACTTTGTTTAGCATTTATTATTTTACAATTGTGATTGTGGGACCTGTGATGTAGATATGTGACGGCTGTGCACAAGCTCACGCCTTTCCTCTTCTCTAAAAGTAGCTGCAGGTTGTCTAAGTTTCTTCCCTTCCTTCCAGATTAAAATATGTAGGGCCTATAGCATCTTTTCACCCGTATACGAATTCCCTACAATGAGGGAAATTCTCTGAAATTCATTAGCTGGGAGAACATGCTCTCTGTCAGCGTATATGTCCCCGTCTCTTTCAGGAGCTTAACCCTTAGTGCCTCATAGGCAGTGCATTCGACGACCATGTGTTCGTGTTCGGTGCTCTCTGGAACATTGCAGTTGGGGCATAGGGATCAATATTATTCCCGTGTTCAACGAGCTTCGCTCGGAGCTTTTGAGTCCCAAGGCACTGTTCCCTTCCCCACCTATAGTTATAAAGGTATGTTTAGGGGAATTTTCGGAAGGCTTTTGGAGAAGGGACTTTACAATGTCAGCCATAGTTCTTCTCTTTTTTCTGTTGCCTTTCAGTTGATTGAATCTGATTAGTTTCGGTCTGCGATGTTCCTTGAGTTTCTATTTTTTTTCCTTTTATTCTTCTTTTTTTTTTCTTACTAATCAGTTCCAGAAAATCTTTCTCTGGAGAGATTGGCCCAGTCTGAAGCTTCATCTCCCTTCTCGTCTAAATCTAGACGATCCCGCTCTTGGAGGGAGAAGAAGTTGTTTTGTTGTCTTATTATCATCGCGCAGGCCTTCTTCGATGTTAGGTAAGGCAACCTCCATGACTTTCCTTAATATATTATCAATATTATTATATTATCAATTTATTATATATATAAATAGAAACGTCGTTGACATAAGAACTAAAAACAAGAGATATGCTATAGCCCTGGGCCACTCTTGAGGACAGAGTAAGATAGGAAGACAAAGGTTGTTTAGGCATAGCGACAGACAGCTTATGAGAGAGGAAACATTGAAACCACATGATAGAACTATTGGAAAAGGATAATGATTTTAATTTGGAAAAGAGAGTGGGATGGTTAATGGTATCAAAGGCTTTGGAAAAGTCAAGGAGTACAAGGATAGTTAGTTTTTTGTCATTTTTGGCGGACTGAACAACGATTTTGATTAGGGCGGATTGTGTGGAGTAACCTGATCAAAAACCAGATTGATAAGGGTCAAGTTGATTGGACTGTTTAAGGAAGTTCAATACTTGGAATTGCACTATTGTCTCCAGGGTTCAGAAAGGTTAAAAAGGATTGAGATTGGTCCAATTCCATTTAATAATTAAAATGAATATAAATAATTGTTTACAATGTAATGGTTGTGAAATGTCGAAGACATATATCATATGGAGTGTGAGTTAGGTTAAGACGATATTTTTATGGGGCTATAAAATATTAGGTTTTATTCAAAGAGTTAATTTATACTATATTGTTTCGTTGATTCCAATCGTTACTGCCATTACTTAGGTTTTGTGTGATTTTCAGTAAATCTAAATTAATTTCAACTCTGATTGTAAAAAAAAAAAAAGACTTATTTGTGATTGTGTTTATTTCTATTGAAGTTCACCCAACTCGTGGTCTCGATTTCTTCCTTAAATATTAAATTGTGTGAACTTCATACATATTTGCATGCATTATTAATAATAATGCACGTATACATGCAAATGCATGCATAATTAATATAGTTTTGTTCTGACTGAAGAAAATTGTTGGTCTTGTAACTCCGAACAAAGAAAAAGTTGAAGTTTTCCTATGGATTTTTTGATCTATCCATTTTAAGAGTGAAAATGTACCTATTATGTATATATCACTACTGTTAGTGCAAAAGACCGTATGTAAAGATTTTCAACTTTTATTCTATTTTTATTTGTAGGCGCCTTAACTTGATTGACCACCGTAGTCCCCTCGAAGAAACTAAAATATAATAAATAATTTTTCAAGATGTATGTCATGTGACTACGATAGAACAATTATTATATGATAAAAATAATTTTCTACATACAAAATACAGAAAGAGGAACAAGAAAAAAAAGGAAAAATAATACCAACAAGATTATAATAAGATAATTATATATTCACAACAATGGTCATAAAATGCATATCACAGCAGTTCTATATAACTTCATGAACAACCTCTTGTTTGTAATAATATATTGTAAGGGAAATTCTTTTTTACATTATAACAACCATTTTGGTAATTATTTATTAACTAGTACTTTTTAAAAATTCTAATAAAGGTATAAATGTATATAAAATGCTACTATAAACAAACAACATTGAGCATAAGAAGTAACTTTACAAAAAAAAATCTGTCCGATATAGAACATTTCACTATAATTAGCTTAGCAGTCAAGCAATGATGGCCATTTAAATTACTTCTTAAGTAAATTCTTTTATACAACATTAATTTATAAATAGCTATACATATAAAATCTATTAATTTCATGATATATAATAAAAATATTGGACACATTTACATAACCTTTGGCATGTGAATTTAATGATTTTGAGAAATAATTTTTATTTCACACAGCTTATATTGGAGCATCAATGGCACTTATTGACAATAACAATTAAATATAAATTTCATACATTAGGTATTTAATAATTAATAAAAATATAAAATAATAAATTTAACACTTTGGATGAATAACAAAAAATTCTGATTTTGTGGTTAACCTCATATCTACAGCTTGCCTAAACAGATAAATTAATCTTATAAACCAAAATCATCCATATAACTTAGGTCTGTTTCTATTCTTAGTACACCTTTTTAGTAATAAAACAAATCAACAAAGGAAACAGAAATTATATTTAGACTAAATTATAAGGAAACAACTACCTTATAGAGAAGGTTTATTAAGTAAGAAAATTAAAAAACCTATTTGATTATTCTTCAAGCAAAAAACAACTTTTCCTGAGACATAATTATTCAGAAGTCACTTACAAGCTAACTCAGGGTAGATAATTCAATTAAAAAACAACAATAAAACAAACGTACAAACCATTTTAATTTCACTTAATGATAAATGAAATAACAAACAAAATTAACTTACCGAACAGAATTACTTTCATATATTTATAACAAAAATAAAAATAATATAAGTAGCATAAGAAATAGCACTTTTCATAAAAAAAATAATAATATATAAAATTAAAAATATTTCTAAATGAAGCTAAGCTTTTATAATAATAACTTTAAATATTGACCATACCATATAATAAAATGAAACATTTTAGAATAAATATATACTTTCACCACTTGCCATACATTAAGCACTTACCGTGTATAAATAAATTTAAGTAAATTTCAAAGTATTTTTAATTAATAAAGAGTTGAACCAAATAGGAAAGTGGTAAAAATGTATGATTATATTATGAATCATGTGAACTAGAAAATGTGTGAAGTTTCTCAATTGATTCGCTGAGCTGTTCAAGGCTGGCCATAAGCGCAGCCATATTCTGTTTTCCTTCCTGCAGCCCTTCATCGCTGAGAGGTGCATACAGATCTCGCGAAGCTCCTAATTCGAAATGGAGTTTGGCGAGCCTCTCCTGCTGTTCCCGAATACCTGTCATCTCTTCCATACTACAGTCTTTACCTATACAAAACAACTATGATAAGCAGAGCAGATGCTACAGTTAAGAATACATAGTTTTTTATTTTAAAAAACAGTTTTGCGAAATCTAAAGTTTGTAAGCGAATAAGAGAGTTTTCAACTGACAATAAGAACAGCAGGAATAAAATATTTATTAATTTTCTATTATAATTAAAAATAATTATTATAATTGTGAAATGTCAGTTTTTATTTGAAAAATGAAATAATAACTATTAAGATAATTAATTAGTTGAGGAACAATCATAGTGAATCATATTAAAAATTACAAAATTGTTCCATCTTTGCATATGAATAATCTAAAAAAGTCACTTTCATTAGGAGAGTTAGAGTATTAGCAGACAAATAATAAAATATCTATAATGATAGACTACATTGTTTAAAGAAAATAATAAATATAAATTTATTTATTTATTTTATTTAGTGATCAATATGCAATAAAATAAGAAATTCTGTAGGACAGTGACAATAGTCAGTGTCCTACAGAATTCCTAACTTTTTATAATTTTGCAGTTTTTCCAACGTTAGTCATAAAATGTGGAGATGAAAATAATTATGATCATATGAAAGAAGACTTAAAATTTTCAAAGGGTAAGGTAAAATATCTTAATTTGACAAGAAACAAATTGAAAGCAGAAACTCGTATCTTTAAGGGTTATTGCCTGTTAAAATATCAGGTACCTAGGAGAAAGAAGATGAAACTTGCTACACAATGCTGCATTTAAACATTAAACTAAAATGTTTACAGATAATGACATACTTAAAAATGGTGTAAATACTTAGTTAATGATTTAACAGGTCTAACTTGAAGTCAATCATTAGCCGGTAATAAGAATTAATTACTTTGGAAGTTAGTTCCAATCATATGACTTATTTAAAAGAATTAATATTTTTTTTAAAATAACACTGAATTATAACATAACATGACTAGTACATCCTTGCGAATAATTTCCATAGTACATTCATCAGTGAACAAGTAAGTAAATGAAATGAATTATAAGAGGGAGCAATTAATTTTCATTCAAAATAATAGACCAAGCCATCTGTACAGATGACAACTAGTGTGTCTTTGCTCAAACTGGTTCGACTCAAATCATTTTTTTATCCATTTTGTATGAAATTTTGAAAACTTTGTAATTATAGTGATTATTAAAAACCAGATTTTCATGTTATTGCACATTTTGTTCGCTTAAGTTTAAGAACATCAAAACTGGCGATGTATCAGATTCATGATCTATAGAATAAAATATTGAAATTTCATGTAGCACGAAATTGCATACTTTACAATTTAAAGAAAGAATTTAATTTAACAGAAAAAGAATAAAATTTAATTTTAACAGTATAAAGTAAAAATACTTCAACCAATTTCCTTTATAACATGTACATAGGTATGTATGTAAATATTTACCTACCTAGTTCTGCTATAAATACTGTTACAAAAGTTGAACTTTGTTTACACCCTTGAGTATTATTTAGATAATCCTTACCTCTATCAGGTTATTTTCTTTACATGTCAGGATAATAATCTCAATTAGTTCGTATTTTTCTTTCGCTCAACTAACAAGGAGTGGTTTGATAAAGAAAACGGAATAGCTGTGATTGCCTTACACGAAGTTGGAAAATGTAGGTTAGAGATTTTCAAAACTTTGAAACCTTTGGGCATCAGCCGTATGTTTGTATACTACACTATAAATAGATATAAAGAGATCCTATCTGTATGTGACAGACCAGGCCGTCCCGCACTGTGAGAACGGCAAATGCAGTGAGAGCAGTACCTGCTCAAATCAGAAGAAATACCATTCGAAAACAACAAAGCATGTCTCAGGAAATGGGAATATCTATCACATCAATGTCCCATATAATAAAAAGTGACCTTAGGATGGGTGCATTTCGAAGAATGACAGGACAAAGGCTAACCACTTCCCTAAAAAAATTAGATTGGATAAATGCAAAGTGCTCCTTGGCCATTACACCAATGGTCTTCATCGAAAGATTTTGTTTAGCGATAAGAAAATTTTAACAATTGAAGAAAAATGTAATCAACAAAATGATCGTGTGTATGCATACTGGGCTCACATGAAGGCCAGGAAGTCATTGGAAGGAAGAGTGGAAAGAGGTCATCAGCCATCCTCAGTGATGGTTTGGTGGGGAGTTTGCTTTGATGGCACCACAAAGCTCCATTTTTGTGAAAACAGGAGTTAAAACAGCAGCTAAAAACTATCAGGACGATATGGAGAAGAAAGCTCTGTTTCCGCTAGTTATACACTGGTCTATTTCTGCCCGCTAGTCATTCATTGAGGTTTGTGTGGAGAGGAGGTATTTGGATTTTTCTATTCTCAGGAATCAATTTTCCTTCTATGCAGATCCTATTATTGGGATGGAATTTTCGGCTTATTATCATATATTTTATTTTGTCATCATTTACTTGTAGGCCGATCTGCTCTCCCTCTCTTATCATGGTCTTAGCGAGTTTCTCAATGTCCTCTTGATAACCTCCAAGGACAGCTATATCATCTGCATATCTAAGATTTTATGATTCGTTCCGACGTGGATCCCTCCATTTTCCCGTGATGTACTTATTAGCTTCTCCAGGGCTAACTCTCTTTATATAAAAAAGTTTTTAGTGACCGTGACATATTTTATTTTACATATATATAGCAGGACGGACCATAACAAAGATACTACACTTCTTATTCCCAGGATTATTTTTCCATTATTATGGTTACAAATTTTTGATAAGAATTATAATTATATAATCTTACGAGTGCTGGGCATATCTCCAACTGAATGGACTATCGTGTGTTCCGAGGCGCCTACACTTAGATCTAGAGGAACAACCATACCTATTCTAACCAGAGTGGGAGGGTTGAGTTTCATTCTGTGGGTTGGCCGTGAAATAAAAGTCAACCACTCTCAGGCCGGATTCAAACCGGCATCACTAGGCACGAGGATACTAAAATGGGCAACGCTCCAACACACCCGGCCATCGCGACATCGCTGGGAGAGAAGATGGCTGAAGATAAAGGCTACCAAGAAATTCCCCTAGGAGAGTTGGAGCCACCTGATTTTGAAGATGTAGAGGATGCCGTGTTGGTCCATAAATAATAATAAAGTACTTGGTCCCGACAAGCTACCAGCTGAAATCTTTAAATATGGTGGTGACGAGCTGATCAAATACACACATGGAATTATCTTGAAGGTGTAGATACTTGAGGAAATCCCAGATGAATGGAAGAGTAGTGCCCCATACATAAAACAGAACATGTTCTTGATTGCTGAAACTACAGAGGAATTTCCTTACTTCCAAGCATGTATAAAATCTTGTTTTGGATATCATACAAGAAAATAATGGCATTTGCAGAGCATGAGATATGCACATATAAAACAGGCTTTATGAGTTGGAAGTCCACTACTGATCAAATATTTTCAATCAGGATCCTACTGGAAAGAGCGAGGGAATATAAGATGCAAACGTACCACCTCTTCATCTACTTTTAGTCTGTAAGGACATCCTTGAATTAGGCATCCCATCTAAAATAGTAAGATTCACTCAAATGACAATGAAGACAGAGGATTGCCCAGTTCAGGTACAGAGAGACTTGTCCAATTGCATTCAGACTCACAAGGGGTTATGGCAAGGAGACTGCCTTGCATGCCTCTTAATGAAACTTGGCACTGAAAGGTGCCATCAGAAGGTCAAAAATCCAGGTGGGAGGCACCATTTCCAATAAAGAAACACAGATCCTTGGATTTGCTGATGATCTGGACATCATTGGAAAGAGCCTCCACAGTGGTAAAGGAAGCATTTCTTAACCATAACTACTAAACTCCGCCTTTTAAAAAAGCAAAGGAAATCAAAATAGTCTAAACAATGTGTCATACCGTTTTATCATCAAAGTGTTTGGGATGAAAATAATCTAGATTTTCCAGTTTATCATACAGATTGTGAGAATCAAGAAATCATTATGAAATGAAAAACACAAATACCACACTAGTCAGTCAGATATGTAGTGGCTTGCCAGTATCGAAGCATCTCCATGGATAGAAAAAATTCCCAATCACAGGTACTTGGTATTTTTCAGAAATCTTTAAGAATTTCAATGAGTTAGAATAGGTCTACTACTAAAGAGAAATACCAAGCAGTTCTTTTTGTTTATGAGGATCAATAAAGATTAGTTACATATTGGAACACATTAGACCAAAATAAAACTGTTGATTCTCTTAGTTAGAAACTTTGTTTATCATTATGAGCATTTTTTTTTTTTTACATTATCTCAATAAAAACTCCATAATTATTATACATCATTACTTGATTTGTGTTATAATAGACTTTTTTAGGGAAATCTGAAAGACTAAATTGAATGACACATGGAGTGCTAATTAAGGTGAGTCGGATATATACAGCAATCTCTGTCTTATTAAAATTTTACTATAATTTATTCTAAATAACTAATTTAATTTTTTCAAGCCACCAGAATACCCATTCTCTTACTGTCCTATCTCTCTTTTACCTATTATGAGGAAAATCCTGAAAATACTCATCTTAACGATCTTATACAATCCTAGATTCTAATCACATAATCCCTGACCACCACTTTGGATTCCACACATTTCATTCCACTATCCAGCAATGCCATCGTGTGATATACATTGTCTCCTCTGCATTGGAGCAGAATGTTGCACTGGAATATTTCTCGACCTCCAACAGACTTGTGATCGAGTCTGGTACCAGGGCTTTACAAACTCCCATGAATTCCATCCCACCTAAATACTTTCTCATCATCCGTTTCTACTATACTGATAGGCACTTCAAAGAAAATCACAATAATTCCTATTCATACTTCTTTTCTCAATCTGCTGGTACTCCTTAAGATAGTATACTTGGTCCCAGGGGTGGCCACTCCTCCTCCCCTCCCCCAAGGTCGATGGCTCACGAATCTTTCGCTACCCTTCCTAAGATATTTTATTGTTCTACTCTACTTAAAAACAGCGCAAATAACATTAAAATTTAAAAGTTCATAGATTATATACAATTACACATCCTACACTCTGTTCTATGCTTCCACTCGTCATTTGATTTAAAACTTTTCAAGTCGAAAATTCATTATTCCATCAAAATGTAACTCCCTCAAAAATTCAAAACTTTAATGGTGGGATTTTAATGGTGCAACTTGCACCATGAAACCCCCCTCTGGGCACCCCTGCTTGGTTCTACCCTTTATACAAAAGCTGATATCAGAATTAGGGATGGGCTGGAATCATTAAAGTTTGGAACAGTTCCAACAGCTCCAGTTCTGTCATTGGAACAGTTCCGCTTATTGATTCATGGTCCATATTTTCTATACGGGGTTACCTACTTCAATAGTAGACTAAATGGAATTTGCATTTACTTTTTTAAGATATATTTGGATCCAAATAGCATGGACTTACTCTTAATTCATTATTATTAGATTTAAAAAAACAATTCTATATCTAATATTAGATAAAGAAATTTTTATTAAGGTTAGTAGGTTAGAAATGGACAATAATATGACTTTTGCTTCTGAACTTATATAATAGTACAAATAAATTTTATCACAAAGTTAGTAAAATCATGAATTTCCGTTTAATGCTGGTTTTAAACAACAAATTATTTTTTTAAGTAGAAACTTGTTGAAAATTTAGTTATTACTTCAATAAATAATTATTAATAATAGAAATAAATAAGGAATTCAACATAATGATTAGAATTTATTAATAGTAACATTTCAGCTTAGTTAAGTGATTATAAAGGTAGACGCACACTGAGCATCATTCAAAAATAAAGAGAATAACTGGTTCACTTGACCTGATAAGGAGCTCTGGGCCTAATATTTCTAAATGCTTTAATAACATCCCAATTACCCCTGTTGAACAAATTTGATAACTACGACTCCAACTGGACAAATATCTCATTTGAAATCCTCATACAAGAATAAAACTACAAGAAACTGTTCAACATTTCCGCTTATTAGACAAATGCTCTAAGCTTCCAATTAATTACCAAAGATTCATATATATGACTTAAATAAGGCCTATTTCGACTGACAGAGTTGAGCTTTGTGCTCCACTAAACCATCAAATTCCTCTCATTACAAATAAATTCCAATCCAAAATCCTTCGTAAGACCCTCAAAGCTCCTTATTTTGTCACAAAGAAAATAATCTAATAAGACCTTAATGTTCCAAGTTTCCAATTTGGCCCAATCCAAATACATATCCTGCCATAATAAACTTCATAATGATCCGAATACTCTCGTTTCTAACCTTACTTCCCCTTCGATCCTTGATAACCCTCCTAGGTGTCTGAAAAGAATATGACCTCGTGATCTCCTAATTTAGAAATTTTATTAGTGTGCTATCAATGGGTGGTTTCATGTGTTGTCAGGTCATTGTCTTAATATGTATCACATTTACTAGATGTTATTTGTTTTTATACAGTTGTAAATTTCAAAAATAAAACAATTTTTTTTTCAAATTATGAAAAATATCTTTTCAAGTTTTAGAATGATTTAAAAATTTTCCTATTCAGTCTTCAACTGAAGTTTTAAAATAATAATATGACTCAATTTTTAGTTTAATTTTTACAACCCTTCATCAGTTGAAAGTGGATATACGGATATATTTTTATATTCTGCTTCTTCAAAACTTTTTTTTCTTAAAGTTGCATGGTGACAAACCTTTATGTCTCTCTAGTAGATTTTACAGACAAAATAGTGCCATACCCAAACATTATTGTTATTACGAGCTAACAACTGAAACTCAAATTCACAAAAGTAAAATTATAGAACTGACGCAAAGACAGGGTCACATCTACTGTGAGCTACAATACAGAGCGAGGTCATTTGTGATTTTATTGCATATTTTATTGTACTCTAAATGAGGAGTGGTTTCTATAACAAGCAAAGGTGAAACTACTAAGGATTAAGAGTAAAGAATTGAATATTTTTTCAATAAATACATTTCAATTTGTTTTAATATAAAAATATTTTAATTTAAAAAATACCCTACATAAGTTGGGAAATCCTTTCTATCCTAACGGTATGTACTTGCACAACTACTAAAATGTCTGGTAGATTGTTAGGGAAATTGACACCTACAAATATTTAAACGGTGTAGTGGTCAGGTACCTTTCACCTTGAAATAAAACTCAAGACTCTATTGGATGTTGAAAGACTCCAAACTTTGTTCCCTCAAAAACTTGTTACATACCTTATAATAAGGGCAGATTAAATACATCGTTTACAATAATTTCTCAGAGCTTTGAGCCAAATTATTTTGAAACATTCACTAGATCTTAATAAATAATTTAATTAAACTTGAAAATCGGACCAGCTGTTCACTCAAAAATTTGTTTCATACCTTTTAGCGGGTGATTAAAACATATTTTATACAATAATTTCTTGGTTTATTTAACGAAAATAGTTTCAAAACACATACGGGACCTAACTGAATAATTTGAGCCATCGAACTTGAAAATCGGTCCGAGTGCTCAAAACATTGATATATATGCAGCGGACAACTCAAGCACATAAATCTCCATGTGGCATCTCTGTAGAAGGGTAAAACAGTTCTTATTTATGAGGACTTGAGTACTCCAACCTATGCAGGAAGAGCAAGTTATAAATTTTGGGTCCAACACAAATAATAGTTGACCATCAGAAGGTGGAATAAACCAAATAAAGACAATTTTTGATTAGACTAATGAAATTGGAAAGAACATGCTTGCAAAATGGAAACTAAGAGACGCTTTGGTTTTATTTTGAGATTTTTTTTTATTCAAATATTTATTTATTGTAAAATTTTAGAATTTAAAATATCAACAATTTATTTTCATGATATATGATCACATGATATAATTTCAAATCAATTAATAATCGAGATACTAAAATTATAATAAACATTTTTTCAGTATTTTGTGCTCACATTGTTTCAAAACATTATCAGGATTTCACTGAGTAATCATAGCTGTGTAAGTTAAAAATCGGTCATGTCATCTGCTCAAAAATCGTTATGTACAGTCATGTACATTATAGCGAATTGATTAAATACACTTTACATAATAATTTGCCAGAATTTTGAGATCTAATTCTTTCAAAACATTAACGGGATCTCATCACATAATTTAAGATATCAAACTTAAAATTGCTCCAGCTGCTCGCCCAAAAAATCATTACATACGTTTTAGAGAATTGATTAAACAAAGTTTATTCAATCATGAGTTAATATTTTCAGCTCAAATTGTTTCAGGACACTCTTGAGATTTCAATCAATATTTTGAGTCTTCAAACTTAAAAATTGATCCATCTGTTCGTTCGAAAAATCATTAGATATCTTTTAGCGCACAACCTAAACACATAACACTCGTGCCGTTTTACTTTCAAAACACTCTGGAGATCTCTCACCAAACAATTTAAGATATCAAACTTAAAAATCGATCCAATCATTCGCTCAAAGCATTGTTACAAAGCTTTATGCAAATTGATTAAACACATTTTACACATTAATTTGCCAGAATTTTGAGTTCAAATTCTTTTAAAAGACCCCGGGGATATCATCAAATAATGTGAGCCATCAATCTTAAAAATCGATCTTTTAGCTGACGACCCAAACATATAACCCTAGTTTCGCTTCGCTTAGTCGGGTAATAAAAAACAAACAAAAAATGAGATAAGATAAATATTATCATATTTTAAAATTTAAAAATGACAAGAAAAAGTTTTATAGAATAGATAAATAAATATAATATAGATATAATCTAAAGTGTGAAAGGCTCCTAATATTTTCTTTCTGCTATGAATATAAAATGTGAAAACCATTTCTTATTTTTTGATGATGCCCTTTTGGAAAAGAATAATGATGGACATATTCTCAACAAGAAAACACTGGTCAAATAAGATTAAGAACATTTAAAAATAAGTTAAACCACTAAGGAAAATAAGTTGTACTCACAATATTAGAGGCAAATTTAAAGTTCAATGATTAAATATCCCACAATTTAAATAGAATCATTCAATAAAGAAAAAGTCTGGCTATAGATTTTTCTGATAAAATACTATGATAAGCGAAACAAGAATTGGAAACTGTATTAAATTATCAAATGAAACATATAAGCAATTTGATTTTTGACTAATTAAAAAATCATTAAAATATTCTAAATAATCCAAAAATTTGTTTCCTTTTTTCTTTTGTTTATAAAAAAAATAAATTTTGGCTAATTAAATAAAACCGAGTTTCACATGGATATTGATTGTGCAATCCTCCAATTGGAACTCCGTATGAAATATCAGAGTTCGTACACTTCCTTTAATTAGCTGTTCGCATTTCTACTGAAGGAGCGACAATAAGTCAAATTTAGATCATGTTTTCAACTCATAATAATTCTTTTTTAACATTTAAATTAAGACAAATTATAATTTCTAAGATCTTTTTGTTATTTATAAATACACTTCTTCTAAATTATTACAAGGTTTTAAATATTTTTATATAGAAATAATAATTGTTTAATGAACAGCAAGTCCATTTGCTTCACACAAACAGTGGTAGATCATTACATTTACTATCAAAGAAAAAATGTTTAGTGCATCTATAAAACAACTTGAGCTATTGTCTCTGCTTCACGACTCTATGTAGACATGGTTTAATCCTATCTCATAACTAAGATAAATAAAAGAGAGTCTACTATATTAAAATCAAGAAAAAACATATAACATCGATAATATTATTTGTATTTAGTAAATAAATGGAGTGAAAAATACAATTTTTTAAAAAATATTTTAAGATATCACATTTTCATAATAAAAATTAAATAATATTAAGGTAATAAATAGTGCAATAACGTACCAAATGCTTTTAGATTTCCAGAATGGAAGTCTTCCAAAAGTGACAGAAGTGCAGTCTCCATCCTCCTCACATCAGTGACATCTGATAGAAAACAGTGGTGTTGAACAGGGCGTTCCAAGAGGCCCACTTCATGCACAGCAGATATTACAAAAGAATACAAAAACTCAAATAAAAAAAAACAAAACAAAAACAAGCGAAGAAACTAAAAATAAAACACAAATAAATGCAGTACAGGTCCTTAAGCTAAGTACATACTAGTAGATCAAGTTTTCATAATTTGAGACGGTCACCATTCTTTATCTCGTCTAACGACCACACTACAATGTGAATTTCTCAGTCTCATCTTTGAAGTCCACCATGTAGAAGTCCACAATGTAGTTTTGTGTGGATTGAATTCCTGCTTAGTGCTAATTAGAAGTGAAAGAATACAAAAACTAAAAACTTGGTGGACGCCCGAAGTGTTCATAGAAGGACCTGGATTCAGCAATGAATTATTAAATAAATTAAGACTGGAAGACACCATAGGTTTCTGGAGTTTCATATGGATGACACTACTGAGTTTGGATATTTTCTTACCTATGATGGTTGCAGGGATAAACAGCCAAACCACTCCACTCTAGCTGGAGACAGACTGGGACGTGTCTCGCCTCTAGAAACTGAGTTATGTCCACACTGTCAAGATGTTGGGCAACATGTCTAACGTTGCATAAGGTATCCCATTCCGATCAGAAGACTTTAAACCTGTGATTTTTGATCTCTTAAAAGGCCTGTAGATGGGGATTGGTCTATAGACATGTCTACGTAGACAACCTGAGATACGCCTCAGAGACTAAAATCGCGCAACATGTCTACTAGTGTGTACTAGGCTTTAAAGTAATAGTGTAATGCAAACAAAACAAGTTTAAAAATAAAATAAAATAATAACAGAGAAAAGTGACATGCATTTATTGTCATATTCTCTAGTTTAAAATTTTTTTTTCAGCTATATAATAATGCATCGCATGCCATTTGTACTATTGAATGCATCTATATGATCTATAAAAAATCAAGAGACTAATATATACATATATAAAATAATAAATGGAAAAAAATTAAAAACTAACAAAGTACTGATAAGAATGGTGAGAAACAAATAATGGAAATCTATTCAGTAATACAATCACTGATTGGTTAATTGCCTTTTACGGTGCTGTAAAATATAAAGAGGATTTGTCACCAAATCTAGTAAAATAATTTTTTAGTATGTAATCCCACACTTTAATCCATTATTGCTCCAACTTTTCTTTTAAAACATGTTGTTATTTTAATTTATAAAACAGATCATTGAATTGAAAAAATAATCATACGATAAATATTATTTTAAAACAAAAAAGAATAAGCAGTGATTATTCATTGGTCATATGAAAGTTTTTTGTATATAAATATATATTATATGTTTTGATATATTCTTATTAAACATTAAGAATAGGTAGTTAGTGAAGACTGGAAGGGAATTATCTGTAGAGAAAGGTCCCTGTCAGGAATTTAAGCGCACTAATAGAAACTATGGAGCCTGAATGTTTATAGAAACACATGATTCAACTTTTTATAAAATAATGAATAGGCAAAGAAAAATATATCTGACAATGATCAATTGTTATTCTTTCAGACTTTGAGCAATAAAAAATAAAAAACAATTAAAAAGTGAGTGCAAAACTAAACAGACTCGTTAAAAAATTATTAAATAGAATCATTCAACATTCTAAATGAATTTCATTCCAACCGAACAAACAAGTAATGAATACAACTTAGGAGAATATATATATAAAGATATAATAATGGTATAAATCACAAATACATACTAAACTAACCATACCTTCCTACAAGTGAGAAATAAATTTGATCAGTTCATATTCCATGTCCCAGCAGAAAGAAGGGAACAAAACAACAATGGTAGTTTTATGAACACCTCAATTAAAATTATATGAACTGAAGATCATTTGGAGTCCATAAAATGTGAAAAATTGACAAACAATTCTAATTAACAATCATTTCAATTGAGGTGTAGACCCATAATTCTTGAAGGAAGGTAAGTTGTAGTCACCTTAACTACAAACAGACAATTATTAAATTTATTCAAGTTATAATTAGAGTAATAACTCATAAAGGAGTGCATTATTCCTGAATTTATTATATTATTTAAGAATTTCGTTATTTACAATTGAGAACCCAAATCATGAAGATAAGAAGGTATCACTACATTAATTATTATTACTATATCAATGAAAACACTGAATATTTTCTAAGCTATGCATACATATTTCTTATTAATCTTAATTCATTACATCGTACATCATAGTGTACATATCATTCAAATATTCTTGAGAATTATTTCCTTTCAGTTATGATGAAAGTTTAAAATGCAATATCAAGAAAGAGTTTTTTAACTCTTTTAAGCAACACTGTGAGAGATTTGAGAAGACTAATGCAGTTTCTACAGAACATTTTAGAAAATTTACGGTAATTGATGGCCAGAAAATGCTAATAGAATCCATAATTCAAAAAGGTAAAAAAATAATGAAAACATGCAACACTTAAAAGGTCTGTTTTTCATTTTGATAATGCTTATGGAATTTTAAAAATGATAGAAAAGATTACATAATAGACAATTTTAGAGAACCTAAAATTTAGAAGAAATTTAAACAATTTCCCGGTTGTTAACTAGCTTCTAAACATTATCAGCTTTTTCCTGATTGATAAATATTCTGAATTGAAAGGAACACCTCTCAGTAAGATATCTAAAATTAAATTGTTCAGATTAATTGAATAACTTATTTCAGTAAAAAAATTTAATAATAATAATAATAATAACAACAAAATTATGCAATGTAATCTTTCACTGGTTTATGAATTTAAGAAAAGAATAATGGTAATTTAATTTTATAATAGGAAATGGGGTAGCCCAGTGAGTAAGGCACTGGGTTAATTACTTTAATTGAAATATTTACGATGGAATTGGTGTCTTAATTTGCATGTTGTTACACTTAACATTTTAATTTAATAAAATTAACTTTTCTTCTTCTTAACACAATTTTAGTATAAAGTGAAATATACTTTCATAATTACATAAAAAACTCAAATTCAAAATTAATGATTCAGATTTCCATAAGTAATTCAAGATTAAACACTTCTCAATATTCCACTTCCCGTAGTAATGTCAGCAACACTCAATAGTGATCTTCACGTTAACTCTGATGATTCACCAAAGAACGTGGTCTGATCCATCAAGTTTCTATGAGGCATGTCCATAAAGTAAGAGTACTGTTTGGCTTTCGCATCTTTTTTTCCTCCCCTACCTCGCCTTTGCAGCAATATAGGATTTTTCCTATATAGAAGGCGAGAGCTTAATACCAAAGCTAAAAGCCCCCCGCACAGAGACTTGAACTCGTAATCTTCAGTTTATGAGGTTGTCTAGCAACCAAGATTTTTTTTTATCCTTCTCTTACGCATGTTTTAGGCTAAATGGGGTTTTCCTACGTCAAGGGATGAGGGCAAAGGAATTATGGCAGATTAAAAGTCCCTCCGTCCTTCCATACCAGGACTAGATCTCATAATTATTTAATCAAATTATATAGACTAATTGTTTTCATAATTCATTCATTCAGTTAATAACCATTCAGCATTCAGTTAAAAAACCAAACAAAATACCTCGCTTCAAGCGATTAGCTGGTGGTGGATGAGCTGGTCTTGGTGGCCTATTGCTCTGCTTCTCATTGACAAATATAAAACGTGTACCTGAAAAGTAAAAAAAGAAAATTATACAAGACAAATACAGCTATAATTCATCCATGAGGACCAAACTGAAGTCACTGAGACTTTTTTTCTTATACAAAAATGGTTGAAATATTACAAAATTTATCATTTTAAAAATCTAAAATTCATATGTCTCAAAAGATTCAGATAATAAATGAATCTTTAGGGAACAGTAAATTTTTCTTTATTTGAAATGTTAAAACTGAAAAAAAAATAGTCAAAATGTTAGTCTAGGTTAACTATTTGATTTCTTAACTTCTTTTAAACTGTTTTCTTAATTAAGCACTTCAAAGATGAATGAATCAATATGATCTGGCCCATTTTCTTTTAAAAATAAACTATAAAAACTGCAAAGTTGTAAACATGTCGTTTTCTGATCATAAAATATATTAGAGTCAAAGGTTTAGAAAATAAGTAACAATTAAACAAAAAAGTAGAGAAAAATTGTGTTTTTATAGAGGAATCAACCAAATACAATGCATTCTTACTATAATTCATACCAAACAATTGCTAAGCCATTTATGATTAATTCATATTTAATTTACTTTTATCTTAAACACTAATATAAAATATTTTTTCTAAAAACTCTTTATGTTTCTCATGATCTTTAATAAGATCTCCTAAGAAATATTCATAAATATATAAGTTTTAGGAATAAAACATATAACACAATAATTGACAAAGTTTTGAATCAAGAAGTAAATATTTGTCTATTTCTAATTTCTGATACGCTTCATTCATAAAAATAAAAAAAAAGAAAGATTGCACCTGATTTGAGCACATAGATGTAAAGAAGCAAATATCAAAAGTAATTTATTTCAAGAAGAAAAGCCTAGAAGATAATTTTAAATTCCTTAAAGAATACATATTTTAAATTATTAAATCATTAAAAGTTATTTCATTTAAAACAGAAATTTGGAAGTGCAAGCCAAATCAGGAGATTTAAAAAAAAAATCAGAAAATATAAAGATTTTATGGACTAAAATTCTGAAATTCCCCATACAACATTTTATTCCGTAATCGGTAAAATAACCCGCAGCTACCCACTACCCTATCTATATTAATCAAATGAATATATTTGTTATTCTTTTATCACCTGAACACAATAACTTTGTTATGCATTTATCAGTTATGGTCTTTGGCTTTAGGTGTTTCATCACCAAAAGCATTCAAACTTAATAACAAAAAGATACTAACACACTTATCAACTGATTATAGTTTATTAAGCCATTCAGAAACCATTAGAAACATTTACTAGAATTAAATAGAATAAATTGAGGTCCAAGGTTAGGGAGATAGTTATATTGATATAGAAGGTTATCTAGGTTGGTGCAAGGGGCAATAATTACATGATCGGTGCAATTACAGCCATAAGTAAAAATCATCAGAACCTATACATCAATAGATGAGCAGAAGAAATCACCAGGTAAATATTTGTGTAGCAAGTAATTTATTTCTAATATTCATTTATAAAGAAATTAATATATATTTTTTTTATATAAAATCAAATCAATTTATTAACCCATGTGCAGAATCTACCACACTACAATGAATGATAAATTAATTTCCCATTTTACAAAAAAAAAAAAAACTAAAATTAGAAAAAATATACAATTTTTTTCTTCTTAAAACATTTTTATCCCCAAGCCTCTTGAGGTGTGCCGTTGACATTGGGGTGGAGTAATGAAGGAAGATTTAAAAAAAAAAAACTAATACGGCTTAGGGCTCATTTTAAAAGTGTCATGACATGAGAATGGAAATATGTTGAGAAGTGTGCATCATAGAAAATTTGTTTTAGTGATGGACTAAACATAATAATAATAACACAGGAAACTCAAAATATATCATTAAATTGTCTTAAGACTGAATTTTAACTCTGAAAATTTAAACTTTTTAACTCTCATAAATTCTGACCTCTAATAATTGGCTCTTTCTCAAGTTTCATTTCTTTCATTATAATTTTTCTTTTGTTTTTGTTATTGTATATATGGTATATTGTATTGTATATATAAAATTTAATGCCCTTAAGGGAGGTAAAATATATTATTTCACAATAAAATAAAAAATTATTGGCTCAAAAATGCAAAAATATTGCAAAGTAATTTAACAAGTTCCTTATTTGTAGATTCTTTAAAACTCCTGACATACATAAAACTATAAAAATTAAATGAATTTTCTTTTTAAGTTAATAACTACAAAGAATTTGGTATTTATCCAGAAATGGGTTCGAATTGGATACCAGGAATATAATTAAAACCAGAAAAATTTAAAATTAAATATACCTCATCCTTAAGTTTGACTTCATGAACTCGGCAAAGCATACTGTTAGGTAGTAAATAACTGTTTACATTTTTCTAAGGGAACAAATCTATGTGAAATTAGTATATATTCACTAAAAAAAAATCTACATACACTCCATATATGCTCGATTGGAATTAAATCAGGTGGCAGAGGAGAGGGGTATGTGTGTGGTCGGTGGGACAAATTAAAGAGGAGCAACCATTCCCTACACAATATGAGCTATATCATGCTTATATTGTTTCTTATTCTTATATCTTCTATCTTATAATCTTATTGTACAATATTCTTAAACATTCTGATTAAAATTATAACTTAGAATAAGACAAATAGATAAATACGATTTTTTTTTTAAATTATGAATTTATTAGTCGCTTAAAGCTATTACATAAATCCCTGAACAAACTTCCACTGTGCAAGTTTAAAAGATACAAGCTGAAATTTCTTTTTCTCTAGTCTCAACAAAAATTACTGTAATTTCTAAATACGTTAAATTTCTTTAAACAGTTTAATCCTTCATTTTCATCATAAATAAATACAATAATAATACAAAATAAATATTTTTTTTTGTTCTCTCCTTTTGTTGCTAGCTTGTTAGGCTATATGGTGGTTTTCTGGGCCAATGGTTAAGGGAGGGGAATAAATGCCTGAGTTAAAAGTTCTACCCAGCACACAAACTCAATTCTTATGTGAGGCAACACGCAGTTATTAGAACTAGTTTAAATTGAAGCTATGTAAGAAATATTGGCTTTTTACCAACTTTTTAAAAATTACAGGTGTTCACCTTTGATATGAGGCCATTCATATATTCTTATGGAATCGCGTTATTATTTTTTCAATTAATAACATCTTCGGCTAAAATTGGGCGATTATGTTCGATTATGATAATTTCTTAACAATTTGGGGATTCATTTTAGACTTTTTACTTCATTTGTGCAACAATGTCAAACAAATTAACCCTTATCGGTCGTAAGTCTCCTCTTTAGTGACAACAAACAAATGTTATTACAAAAACATTTAACGAAACCAGCTAGAACCTAGTGAGAATCATATATAAAAAACTAGTAACCGATACTGGTTAAAATAATATTATTACAATAATTCTATAACAAATGGTTAACATGGATTTATGCTTTGTTGGCCAGAGAGAATAATGTTTAATTAAATCATTTTGGGCTAAATACGTAAAGTTAGTACTGCCATCATCCATTCTTTAATGTATGCAATATATACTACATATACAATGTAAATAAAAGTGATGAGAAAAAATACACAAAGAGTCAATATTTTAATGAAAATAAATTTAAAACAGCTAAATAACTTTGGGAATAAGAATGAGAAAAAAACCCATCTTTACAGGACATTTACTAATTAACTTAAATTACTTTAGCAAATTATGACTCTACAAAGAGGCAAAACAACAATAAGGACTAAAGTTTCCTTCTTGTAAGGGATATATAATATTAGTTAACTATTAAAAATGAATTAAAGCAGCCAATGTCCTACGGATTAGAGATTTTAATAAAATGGAGTTGCTCTAACATAAGTATTAGAACTAGCAGTAGCCAAGAATTAGAACTAAAATAAGAACTTGAATTGAATAACTCTTTGATTGACTATTCCAAACTGAGACATGATTTATAACAAAATATGACAATAAACAAAATGAAAGAAACTAAACAAAGCTATACATTAGGTTACAACCAAAAGTACAATTTTTTTTTAAACTAATTACAATCAAATAATTAACTACATTTTAAGGTTGATGATTTGTCATTATAGAATACAATTTATGAGAGAAGCCGTTTTTGAAGTATAATCTTGTCAAAAATAAACACTCTCATAAGCAAAAAAGGTTTATAGAATTGAATGATAAAATTGATATTGGATCAAGGTATCAACCCTCAAAATCCCTGAAAGTTACTCCAAATCAAATAAACAGTAGTTGGAGCTTTCGCATGAAATGGATTCGACTACAGAAAGATGTACAGTTTGAAATCCTGTTCTAAACATTTTGTTTTCCCTAACATACAGTAGAAGATTACAAAATGGTCTTTCAATATTTGTATCTAATTGTGAAAAATAAATAACAATAACTTTGTTTTGTAAGCAATATTGGAGGTTTAAACAAAATGATATTCAACTTAGTGCTAGTGCTGCAAGAGTTCCTCTAGAGCTGCCAACTAATTTCGGACGAATTATAGCTTGGTTTGACAAAGTTCTAACTGATCTAATTCAATTTTAAGGAAACAAATTTAAAGCTTAATGTGCTAACATCCGTTTCGTTATAAATCAAACAGGTACTCACTTCATTAAACAGTATAATTAAAAATAAACATTTTTTCAAGATGAATATTTTAGATATAAATAAAGGATTGTTAATACACACTAGACCCAGTAATGTTTGAAGTATGCGATGAGCCTAAAGCAGGTACAGTCACTATCCTGCTGAGAGATCGAGAACTGGAGGAACCACCAATACTGGCCACACCACGAGCACTATATCCACCAGAAGAGGATACATCCTTAACAAAACAAAACTAATATATACAACACATTAACAACCACAGAGATATAAAATATACTAACAAAAAAACCTATTATATTAATTAATCTTCAAACCACCTACAAATTAAAATAGTAGTAAATACAAATAGAAAAAATCACTGTTTGAAAAAAAGGTTGTGCTCTTCAATGTAAAATTTAAAAAAAATTGAAAATCTTAAGCCAAATTTTAAGACAGTATTGACATATATACTGAACAAATAAAAATTATATAATAATACATATTTTTTGTACAATTAACATTTATAAAAGGAGTATTCTTAACATACTTTGATACTTTCAGGAGAAGTTTTAGTGACTGCAGGGCTAACAGGAGGAGTGACTTCTCCAAATTTGTCAGCACTACCTTGTTCTTCATCCATTATAACTAACTGTTGCAATTCACCTTGATCCTTGTTTTCTGTCATTCTTCCAGGGTTAGGATCGGTGTTTGTTCCTATTCATGATTAAAAAATTATAATAATGAAGATTGAGAAAGCTTATGATTCCAAGGAAAAATATTATTATTTTCACATCTATTTGAAAAAATTAATTAATTCCAATTATTCTTTCCATTAAAATTAATAACACTGTAAATTGAATCAAACTTCAAAATAGATTCAAAGAATCGTCATAAAATCGATAACAATAGCGAAAGAGTGTTCAAAAAGAAAATGGAGTTACCCCAGGTCAGTAAAACTATCTAGGTAGGAAGTTTTATTGACCTTGGAGTTAACTAAATTTAAACAAGATCTAATTTTCTATTCTATATACCTAGAAATTATAGAATGAAATAAACTCATTTCCAATCAGTAATATTAGTTATTAACAGTTTTAAAATAGAATATAATCACTATTAAGTTTTTTAAACAATTTAATTAATAACATTATTGTAGAATCTCACTATGACATCTAAAACAAACTTGGAGTTAAAAGGCGGTAAAAAGCAAAAAAAAAATTAAAACATTTTTCACAGAGGCTACTGGTATAAATAAATTATTAGTACTAAGATCAAAAAAAGAAAGTATATTTTACTATCTTGAAATAGGAAAATCTTGACCTATTAATTGGGGATAAAAAGCATAAGATATCAGAAAGTAGGGGTGCCAAGAAGCGGCTTTGATGGCGAAGATGCCATTTTCGTACACAACAAAAACCATCCGACATCCTCCTGCTCCTTACCTTACTCCTGCTTTAAGAGAGGATGTATGAGAGAAAGAGATGCTGCAAGGCGACGGTTTATACGAACTCGACTTCAAGAAGATTTTCTCTCTTTCAAACAGCTTCGAAACAGCACTCAATCAGCAGTACGCCGTGCTAAATTCCGTTACTACTATCATTCCTTATCTAACTCCCCTAATACCGAGGCCGCGTGGGCTATTCTCAGAATACTGACCATTGGTAATACACCTCAGTCTCAGTCCATTTCCGTTTCTGCCGATAACCTCAAGGCTCACTTTGTCACCTGCCCTTTCACAACCACAACTCCTGCGTCCGATCCGGCTCCTATGTTTTCCCCATTTAATCCTGATAACTTTTTTTTTTCCCGCATTACCCCTGATCTCCTAAACTCCATTCAGAAATCCCATACCAACGATTATGGTCCCCATAACATTCCAGTCAGACTGAACAAAGCTGCACTACCATCCATTCTTCCGATCCTTTATCATATCTATAATTATTCTCTTCAAAATGCTATCTTCCCTACATCCTGAAAACGTCCTAGTAAGCCCCCTTGAAGAAGACCTCAAACCGATCAGCTCTTAATGATTTCTGTCCAATTTCCCTTTTTTCAAACCTTTAGAACGATTAGCCCAATCTTTCTTTTTTTTTTTTTTTTTTGGTCCTTCCCTTCCTCGCCGTTAAGGCTATACGGGATTTTCCCGGGCCAGGGTGTGTGGGCGGGGATTGATTAGCCCAATCCCAGCTATCTCATTATTTAGAGCAAAATAATTTCCTAAGTCCTTACCAGTCCAGCTTCAGGCCTGGCTACTCTACTCAGTCTGCCCTAATCAAAATTTCCCAAGACCTTCATACAGCCATAGATCAGCAGAAACTAACCAAACTTAAAAATATCTGTTTTTGTTCTAGTTCCCTTGATTGATTCCAATTCTTTCTTACCGGTCGCTCCCAGTATGTTGTAATTCCTAATAACCTCCCCTCCCCCCATAAGAATCTCTACCTCTGTCCAGAGGCGTCCCACAAGATTCTTCCTTATCCTCCACCCTTTTCTCCATCTATATAAATGACCTCCCAACGTCTATCCTGCACTGCCAATTCCACCTGTATGCCGACGACATTCAAATTTACCTCTCCTTTAATCCGATCGATTTCTCAGATGCCATTCTAAAACTCCAAGAAGATATTAACAGAATAAGTGCTTGGGTAAACCTCAACAGGTTCACTCTGAACGCTTAGAAGACAAAAGCCATCTTGATCAGATCCCCTCACACCTCAAATCCTTCCCGGTATCCTCCAATCTCCTACTGAACAACCCACCTATCTTATAAAGAGTCATTTTATTTTAAATTAATTGTAATTTATTATCCTACCTTTGGTCTGGCTCACTCAATTTCTAAGTTTCCAAAACTCTATCTTGAATAATTTCTCTCTTTCTTTATTGCAAACCTTTCAATTTTCCTATTGTTTGTGCCTTGTCTGCTAATCACCAATCTCTGAGTTTGGTTTTTTTCTATCTTTTTGTTTGTGAAATGAGATATTTCACGGTGGGGGATATGTTTGTGCGAAAATGGTTTGAATTTCCCGCGTTATGGCGAGTGGTGGGGGCAGATCAGAAGATCTAAAACACTTAATCTGCAAGAGCTGCTGGTTTCTCGGCCCATTCCACTACTGGTACTCACTCCAGCACTAGTAGTCAGATGCTCCGAGGGCGCCCTCAAGATATTAAGGTAGTCAAAAGATGTTAGCTGGCAAAAGGATGGTAAGCTATTTTTGGTCAATCAGTATAACCTACCAATCCATTAAAATACAGTCCATTGTATAAAACTAGAATGTTGCCCATAATTTTGAATGTTACCTATTAAAAACTTATGAGAGTTATTTGCCTTAATTTGAAAAGTTGCATAAACATGACTTTCTGCAGTCTGCGACATCCAGAAATACTCAGTATGATGTCAGGAAATCACTTCAGGAGACAAATGAGGCACTATTGATAAACTTGATATCACAAGAACACAAAACACCTTTATTCCTCTACATGAACATTACAAAATCAGGAACATAGCACAACTACTGTCATGGGTAACCTCCCCCATACCAACCTGCTTTGCTTACAACAGCTCAGCAGTGCTGCCAGATAACATGTATAAACTCTACACACTCCCACCTTTACAAATTATGCTTTAAATTGTAAACTGATTTAAAATATCAAAACAAAATTTAAAAATTCAATACAAAAGTTTACAGGTTAAATCATGAATTTAACAACACTTAATGAACTGCTTTAACACATTTTTTCTGCTTTCTTTTTTAGTCATGATAAGTTTACTGGTTAATAACATTCCGAAATACAATACTCTTCTTAGCTGTTTTTTTTTTCTCTTCCCGTATTGGAAAACTTCTTTAGAGAACAATGAAGAAGTATTCGTACCGCCAGTTGTTAGTTGTACTCCTCTCCTTGTACTTTTCTAAAATATGGTTCTGAAGGGGACCTTTGGCTGATGATAGATCTGATACTATCTCTTGTGATGTTCCTGGTTTCGAACTGCAGGTGTTTTACTCTTAGGCAGATGGTTTTACTCTAAGGGGTTGTATGAAGCTTGGAATTATTGTCGTAACTGGTACTGATCTGGTCTTCTCGGTAGTGCCATCACCTAGACAACTCCTTTGTAAACGATTGTAATGGAACACTGGAAGCAAACTAATCGGTCTATATAAAGAAGGATTGTTAGTGTCCTTGTCTGACTTTTGAATCATGATTACATGAGAGTATTTCCACTTTATTTGAAATTCCGTGGTCCTAAGAATTCAATTGCACATAACAATGTGCAATTAATTCTAGCAACAGCTAGAGCTTTCCTTTGCATTTGCTGGAGCGCCTCAGCATTTATCAAGTCATGATCAGAGGGTTTTCTTTTCGGCAATTGTCTAATTTCTTGTGCAAATTGGGATGGTGTGACATAGTAATTTAAAAATGTTTTATGTTCTTAACGAATATGGGGATAGGTCGGAGGTCTCTTGGTATCGGAGCGGATTCAATCACCTCTCTCTCATTCTGAAGCACCTGATAGGGGTAGGGTGTAAAAAAAGGAGATTCTCCAATTGTCTCTTGTGATGATGTTCTTCAATGTTTTCATGTAGTGATGTACCAAACTGGATTTCATGCTAACAGATGTCATTGGAGGCTTTTCTCAATTCAATCACTAGTAGTTTGGCTTATAGTTCTCTTATAAGCCAACCTACTAGTGGTGACCATGGTAATAATAATGAAAAAACAATAAAAAAAATACTTATAATATTAGGTACTATCCATATTATTCTGATTGAAAAATATCAAAAACTTTGTAGTTGGGAGCTACTTAAAGTCAACTGTTGGTATGAAGTCAACTGAAAGACATTTTTTTTTTTTTTATCTATCTGCCCGGCATAGCTGCCGGTCTCTGAAAGACATTATCACACTGCCAACTTTCGACGGATCTATTGCATTCCATAAGATGTCAAAGTTCATGTCGATGCCTGCATTGAATCTTCCAACTTCTGTTGCGTTTAAACATCAAGAAACGTTCAATTTTTGGACTTATGCCAGGTTTAAAGACGTTCTGTCCCACTATATGCTACTCCATTCTGGCGCCTACGATTGGATATCAAAGGATTCATTAAGGATACCAATATATAAATAAAACATTGTTACAGTAAATAGATAAAATATATATATATATATATTACGATCAAAAGTAAATTTATCTTACACCACTATTATCATAACTATATTTTAATATACCTTGACACATTATATATACACATATACTTTTGTATTGTGTTGTAATTTTTACGTAAAATACGAGCTAAATTATTGTGTAATTTTTTTCTTATTATTCATTACGGATTAACCGCCTCTTTTGCCTAACTGTTGATTGACTTGGGCGAATAAGGGTGGTTCATATGAACGCTATTCTTGGACAATCGTCAACGGAGAACGTTATGAAATATTAATTAGTTATAGTGTAAGTTGAAATATTAACTGGATCTCGCAATTTCGAAGTGTTGTACTGTCTCCATTTACATAACAATAATGTTCGAAACGGGGCCGGTATAGCAGAGTGGTTAGCGCGCTATACTAGTAAAGTAAAGATCATAGGATCGAATCCCGGCCCTACTTCCCAATACGGCTGGTCCCCGCGGGAAGTTAGACCATTACCCTCTTGATTGGGGAGGCCTACAGGTGTAATACTTGTAAAAATAGGCTATACAAAAAAAAAAAAAAAAAATGTTCGAAACATTTAGCGCAAGGACGTTTACAAAGTCTGATTTGTAGAAGAGGCATTCGTCTACAAGAAATACTCAGAGATATTTATGAGACCATGTGCAATAGATACATAAGCTTTATCTATAAATCAAGTTGGTGACGGACCCGACTCCAATATTATTTGAAAAATTTAATTCAAAGGGAAAAAAATAAAAGTAAAGGGAAAAATAAAAGTGCATTTATTTACATGTTATGGTCTTTCTCAAATGTTATGAATAATTGTATAAAATCTTTTTTAGCTGATTCTTTAGAAAGTTTTAATAAGATTTCAAAACTTCCTTAGATTTGAAATCTTTGTTACTTGATATACTGGTATTCTTGAAAAGCTGTCAATAATCGTGCTAGTTCCTGTTTTTCATGATTATATGCTAATATGGACTAATAGTAGCTCTTTGGATAACATTTGTAACATTAGCTGATAAGTTTATATGATATGAATGTTTTTTTTTTTTATTAGTTAATTATAAGTACCTTATGTTAGCTTAAGTGCTTGTTTTTTCATAAATCTTAATTTTGTTTGTGTCATTCTTCATTTATCTGGGTGCTTGTTTTGATATTGCTAATGACAACACCATTCAGACTTTTTGTAAAAGAGAGAGAGGATATTGCATGTGCTTTGGCCATGAAAAGAAAGAGGAAACATGATGAGATGTTAAATTCAGAAGGGAAACTTCCACAGTTTGACGTTAAATTAGAAGGTATGGCTGTCATTTGACTCCTTAATCATATTCATTGCCCACTTGTGCTGTGGTGATATTTGTTTGTGTACTTTTAATTTTACTTGTGCTAATCTAATAATATAAATTCTACTCCACCACTTTCACTGCTATTGTTTCTTCAGGAACCCCTGTTCCATCCAGTACTGTGAAGAGAGCAGGACCTTACCTTCTTGGTCCAACAATAGGAAATTCACCTGTTAAGAGTATTGTGCAATGTTTAGCTAGGCTTGAAGGAACTGACAAGTATTACACCTTGAAGGTATAATTAATTCAAACATAAAATTATAAAATATATAACCAAAAAAATAAAAATTATCAAAGTAATTAAAAGAAATATTTCATGTCATAGAAGAGGAGTCTAATATTAAGTAAATGAAATGTAATAGAATATAGATACTAAATCACTTGCTCATAGAATCTCGAAAATAGCCGAATGTTGTCGTATTTTATGACATCAGCAATTGCCACCGCCACATAATCCCTTTTCATTTATTTAAAAAAAAAACATTCTCCCTTCATGGAACTTCCTTATTATCAGTTTATTAACGAATTATGTATTTACTAATTTGGTAATCATTAATTTTTATTATAACGGTTAATACTCTGAAAGAAAAAGAAACAAATATATAAAATGTTTGATTCGTCGTTCAAGGCTTGTTTAAAAAAAGAATGCTTTTAGAAATAAAATTTTTATTTACACTTGAGGTCTACTATTTTCTAGTGAGGGACCCTTTTTATGGAAATACTGTCTGATTTGAGATTGATCATCAAGTTTATGTAACTTTTTTGAATTCTTAGATATATGGATCCACTATTTTCTAGTCGTCGGAGCTTTTTTTGAACATAATGTTGGATTTGAAATTGTTCATTTGAGTTTTTGTTGCTTTTTGGATTTCTTAAATAACAGAGTCCATTATTAAGATGCCACAGATGCTTTTTATGAAAGTAATGTCAGATTAAAGACTGTTTGAGAATAGTGGAGATAATATTAATAAATTAAATGTATCTATTAATCGTTATATAGATAACTATTTATTCCGACAATGTCCAATCCCAACAGACCCGTCTGTCAGTTAGTTTTAGTATACTGTTTACTTAAAATACTTTCGAAGACGGAATTAATGTATTGGGGAAACAACTGACGAAGAATATTTGATTATTCCGAGGTAATGAATAATGGAAATCATCAATAAGAAAAATAATATCGTGAAATAGCATTCAGAGATATAATAATTAAAGGTTTCTATCTGTTACTATTTATTTTCCACAGCTGTATAATATATGTACAAGTTGGAATAGGGTTATATGTAGCCTAAATTTCTAATATAAGTCGGCTCCTGCTGTATAACTGAACATGGTTAAGGTTATAGAAGTACTTAAATGGCAGGAAAGTTAATAGTAACTGACTCAAGAGATCGGTCGCCTTCATTCTCTTTTGGATAAACCAGAACGCATTCGGCGCTCCATGAAGAAGAATGAATGAAGTGATTGTGAATCAGGCATAATCCGTGCTGAACTCATGTGAACTAATACCAGAATATAAATGAATAAGTTACTACCAATGAACCTCGGGTGGAGGTGAAAAAAAAAAAGAAGCATACAGGGTGTCTGTAAGTAGAGGGAAATATTTAAAAGGGTGATAGTACACATCAAGATCTACAAAAAAGTTCATATAAATTATTTCCAAGATTCAAGATCTGAGTGTTTATAAGTGTTATATTTTTTGTTGAATAGGAAGTGATAACAAAAACAATATTTAATTTGAGTAATAACCAATTGCTCCACAATAAACTAGATAAAATTTACTTTGAAAGAAAGTAGATTTTGTCATAGTTGAAACCATTTAGAGGACCATTGAGCGGCTAAATGCAGTTAAGTTCTGTTTAAAAAAAATTATTTGTGGTTTTTGTTTTATCACTCTCCAACTGTATTACAGTTACCCCACTTTAAGAAAAACTTCTTCTTCTAATAAGTTTTAAGTCAATTTTAATTTATTTGACTTTTATAAGGAACATTTTTGAGATTGATCTTAAGTTTTATAAAAAAATAATGTGATTCGATATGATTGTTTTTATCAGATATTTTTAATATATATTAGCTAGTAATGTTGTTAACTTAACATTTGATTCTAGATTTTAACCCTCAAAGATCAGGAAGAAGAATGCCAAGATGACCGACAAGGCAAAATGCTGATACACACAGAATATTCTCTGCTCTCTCTTCTTCACGATATGGAAAATATTATTCATCATCATGGATTTTTTAAAGTAAGTTTTGTCAATTTTCTTTGTGCTGCTTTACAAAAGTCTCCCAACCAAGATATGTGAGCCCAAGATCTCATGATCACATTGCAAATGGAATTTAGAAAATGGTAGAATTTGTCTTTTTGACAGATGTGACCAAACGATCAGTATTAGTTGGGCTCACCCAGTCTTTATAAAGTGGGTACTATCAATTAAATAATCTATTAAGGAGGAAAACCTTGCGGTTGAGGGTGATATCAGTCACAAATCACCTCCTTGCACAACCGTTGACTAAAAAACAGTACTTTCCCTTAATAGTATTTAACCCAAGACCCATCATGGGTTGTATGTACAGTTTTTTTTTTTTTTTATACAGGGTGTCTTAGTTCTTTATGGCCAAACTCTGGAGGGTGATTCTAAACAAAATTTTCAACAAAAATGTTCATGTGATGCATGGGCCGATCCTGAATGGAAAAGGAGTTCAGACCAATTTTGTTTTCCTTAAGGTGATCATGTATTTTATTGAATAAGAAGAAAAACAAAATTGAATAAGAGCAAAAAATTGCTCAAAAACTATTCTAGATAAAATTTAAATTTTAAGTACCCCACTGTAAAGTAGACAAAATTTTCTTTGAGAAAATAATGAATAAATTTATCAAGGTCAATCAAAAGACACTTTTAGGAGGTCTAATACGACCGCTGAACACTTTCTGCTATAGTACCCATATACGAGCAGTATATCTCTGTATTCCCGATTCATACCCAGCAGTATAGTGGTTGTATTAGACCTAAAATCATCCTTGTGATGACACATATGTAGTACCATTTTTTCTATTCGGTGGCTCTTTTTTATCAGTGAGTTTATTATCATTATTTGATATTTACTAATTTGATATAATATGCTAGTAATTTTACAATAAGAAATTTAATGCCTGTTATGATTTCATTTAGAGTCGTGTTCCTTATGTTAAAAATAATTCTGGACTTGAACTCTTGGTAGATTGTTAGTGCTTAGATTCATTTATCATTTAAGAATAGTTTTTATGGATACAGTAGTAGTAAACAAACAAATTTAAAACTTTGGTATAAGATTGAAGAATACCTCTTACAAAAAGATTTAATAAACAACTCTTACAGATTTCATGACATTCAGTTGATTTATTTTGATTAAAAGTTGGAAACAAATTTGATTAGTCTTGTGAGAACTATGTACTGTATACATATTTACTTCGAACTCATTTATTTGGTTTATTATTCACATTAGTAACTGGAGTAGTAGAATATAAGCTGGAATAAATGATAAGGATATAAATGTTTATGCGATAAGTTAACTGGAACAATGCAGAGCAGGACAAATACATAAAAAATCTACTCCAATAAATTTCTGGATAGTAATGAACTAGATTAAAGCTCAGGAAACCCTTTTTATTTCCAAGTTATTTCAGACTTAAATACACTAGAAGCTCTCATAAGCTCTCATCTTATTCAAACTAGCACAATATAGAATGCTATATTTGCCCAAATATAGGATCAGGTCTTTTATATTAGTTTTTCTTTTATAAAATAACTGTTTAACTTTTATTCTTTTGTAATTTTAGAAATTTTAGGTTTGACCAAATTTGGAACTTTTAGTCACTTTATAGCTTAATCATTGTAAAAAATAATGGATCTTGTCTCATAAGAGATTAAAAAATAAATAATTTTTAAATAAAATTTTTAAATAAATAACGACACTTAAGGAGACAGGTAGTACTTCTTTTATTTCGTTCTTATTTCAGCTTTCTTAATTTCTTCCCTCCTTCCTTTCATTCCTTTTCTCTGTTTTTAACTCTTTATTATATTATACATTGTCTGTACATCTCGATAGACTTTACAATATCTCAATTTTCTATCTAACTACTCCATTCTCAATGTTTTAATTTTACTATTTATTTTCATTACTTATATAACTTCATATTTCTTTTTTATGTTTTACATTTTATTCTAAGATTCTCATTGTAACACTTTTGTCACCCTTTTTGATTATGTCTACTTTATCATTCCACACTTTGTAACAGTTTTTATTATTTATCTCTTAGTTCTTAGTCATTATTCTAACAATTTCATTTTACTTTATATTTATCTATTTTATTTTTCTAATTTTTTTATTATCTTTTTTACCATCATTACTTATGTTTCTCATACCTTGTTATCTGGTTATTTTCTTAGCCCTGATGAAGGCCTGAACTTCAGGTTGAAACGTCGGCATATGTAAAAAATAAATATTATCATTTATTTTTGCCTTCCTTTTTGACTGACCACCCCATCTATTCTTCTCTTCATTATAAATAACAGTTATTGACTGTTTTCATAATGTAGTTAGGTATATTCTTAAAATGATGAGAAAAATATTTTAAAAATAAGTGCTTATACTAATATTGAGATAATTATTGTGAGGATGACAATATATAAGAGAGGGAGGAAGGGGGTATTGTAGTTGTGGCACACCTCGACATAGAACCCTTGGTGGTGGCGCCTCTGTATTTGACTATAAACAGTTTGAAAATCAGAGAAAAACAGAATACGGGAACAGTCATATTAGATCAGAAAGAATTTTTTTTTATGCTAAAAATTTTATTTTAAATTTTTATTTTATCTTTTATAAATTATTTTGAAAATATGATTAGGATCGCGCAATGGAAGAAAAGGCATGTCCAGACAGGAAATTAGTATATACTGGTCGAGTCATTGAGAGAGCTTGCCTCGTTTTGGACTGCTTGGTAGCTCATGATTATGCTCCACATTCAGTAGAGTATATTAATCTCCAGCATTATGTTATTAGAGAAAAAAAGTTATGTGAAAGGGAAGCAGCTCTTATATTATTTAATGCTGTTAAAGTTGTTCACATACTTCATGAGGTAAGTAAAATTTAAATTTAATATAAGTTTATGCTATTAGGCCTTTCTTCCAAAGTTTGTTTATTTTGATCTAGCAATTGGTTTTCTGTAGAAGTTTTACCATTCCTGAAATATCAAATTACCACTCTCAATTCTTTATTTATTGAACTATTTTATGATGTTTCATTGTGATTTCTAAAGCAAAACAGTTTGGAGCTTGTTGATATAGGATTATAGAAAGGCTATATATTCAAATTTACAATGATTCATGATTAAACTAAATAAATAATGTGGACAGTACCAAGTTCATCCTCAAGTTTGAATATTTTTAAATAAATACACTCCCATATACATATATTCACTTAAATTTTATTTATTTTCAAATTTTTATAACCTAAATAATTAAATATTAATTAATTCTAGCTCTAGATTAATGTAGATTGTGCGAATACTAGGATTACTGCATTAAGGTTAAAAAGTGATAATGGAGGCTGCAATAATTTATTATATTTTACTGTTACAATTTTTATAAGTTAATACACATATATGGGTATATACATATATGCAACTTAATTCTATTTATTTTTCTTACCTAAATATTATTTAATTCTAGCACTAGATTGTGCGAATAATGAAGAAGGCTGCAGGCTCTCCTGTGGTATAGACCATTGTATTTAGACATAAATGTATATTTGAAATAAATAAGTTTTTTATGTAAAAAATATTATTTATCATTATTATTAATATTTTTTTAAAGAGAAATGTTGTACATCGTGACCTAAAACTTGGAAACCTAGTTCTACATCAAAGTACTCATAAAGTAATTGTAGCAAATTTTTGTTTGGGAAAACATCTTGTAAGTGAAAATGATACACTTAAAGATCAAAGAGGTTCTCCTGCATATATTTCTCCTGATGTTCTATCTGGGAAACCATATCTTGGTAATTTTTTTTATGTCTTTATTATCTTTTAATTATATTTTTATTATTGAATTTTTATGTATTACATTATTTTTTTTCTTTAGTTGTTATTAAATGTTGTAATCATTAAGTTTCTAATTCTAAATTTCTGACTTTGGTCAGTTTTATACATTCTTTACAACTTATTTTGAATCTATCTGTTATTTTAAATAAAATTGAAGCATAAAATTAATGGTGTGTTTATAATTATACTTTAGAAGAACTCTATTTAATCCAGGATGTTTTGTTATATGATTATAGTAATCCTGATTTTATTTTAGTTTATCAAATATCTCTTTCTTGTTACTAGTGATCTCTAAAATTTATCATTTGTTAATAGGAAAACCCTCAGATATGTGGGCTTTAGGAGTTGTGCTATTCACTATGCTGTATGGACAGTTCCCGTTCTACGATTCAAGTCCTACTCAGCTATTTACTAAAATCAAGATAGCAGACTATGCTATTCCTAAGTAAGTCATTTTGGACGTTTGAAGAATTATTACATATGATTGATCTGATAATTGTTCTGATTGAAATTTTAAGAGACTATTATTCACTTTAATTTTCTTATGACCTTATAATTTTTTTAGTCTATCAATAAAATAAGTTTTAGTTCTGTTCAGTTTACTATTTATTTTATTTCTGTACGATCTCAGCTATTTTATAGCTGCATATGTTTCTTAAAATCAGTAAAATAAACAGTATTTTTGGTTGTAAATTTTTTTAATACAATTTTAAAACTTTGGTTATAATTTGATTTGTTGGTTTTTAAATACTATAATTGATCAATTTTAGTAAATATATATTTATATCAATATATGTTTTTTTAGAGTTTTTAAATTTATTAAATTGCTCTTTCTAAAATGTCAAATGTCCTCACCTTTCATTTGTTTTGCAGCATAAAATATGTGGTTATTATAATTCAAACTTATCCAATTTTTTATGAATGTTTTAAACTACAGTAGGTTTGTTGTTTTTGCTGAAAATTTTAAATGTAATGTATTTTCCACTTTAATGAGGCTTACTGTTGTTAGCAATAATCAATTTTATATCTAGATTATAACATAACTATTTATCATTTTTATATTATTTGTTTCAGCGATGGTCGAGTGAGTGAAAATATGATATCTCTGATCAGAAATTTACTTTTACTGAATCCTTTGCAAAGACTGAAAACAGACCAGGTATTGGACGCACTTTCGACGATATTAGCTACTACTGCAAACATATTGATGGATGAACCACTTCAGGTATAATTCTCAGTTATATTTCTTAATTAGACTTAGTAACAAGGGGAGGTTACGGATGTGGGATCACCAATGAAACTTTTAATACTAGGTCAAAAAATATTGGACATATTTTATGGGGTTCTTGTCAATGCACCCTGGGCACATCTATCTAACCGTTCACGGGAATTAATAACACAAAAATAAAATTAATTATAAATTTAAAATTAATAAATGCAGGCCCTACTCGGCTACTTCGACAGACCACTATGGTACGGGTTCGATAGTGGATGGGGACAGTAACGTCGGCACTCTCAAATTCACAGGGAGGTGAGAGACCCCTGTGTCTTACTCCAGAGCTCCTGGTCCTCCAGTTTGGGGGTTGGGTATAGGGCTGATAATACCCTATCCTATAAAAAAAAACAAATGAGTGGAATATTGAAGCAAAAGATTGCCAACCATCCATTAGGAAAGTTCCTGATGAAGAAGGAATGAAATTTTATCGCGTTTGGTTAGTAAACCACGTGCTCCCTGGATATCTCGAAGATGAGAGAACAAAAGGATCACTACTGTCACCTATAACAGCCCCAAGATGCATACAGAAGACATGACTTAAAAAGTCAGCAGGCATAGGAAAAAAAAAAAATTGGTATATAATAGGGTTTGTGTGACTATGCTTGTGTACTCACCGACTTGATGGCTTGTGTGCTCACCGGCTTGTGTTCTCAATAGTTCAGCTTCATCAAAAATGAACTTGGTGTTTTTTTGCAATAAACTGTATATTTTAGTTAGTTTATCCCTTCTTTTGGTCTAGAAGTTCCTCCCAGCTAAGTCCGATAGACTAGCTGAACAATAATGAGAGAGGGACCCTCCAGACTGTCTGGAGGGTGTGGAGTAGGATTGAACGTCCTACTCACATATCTATAGTTCAAAAATTACCAAATAGTCATGGATCTTCCTAAGGTAAAACTCTCATTATCCGGAAGCAAACTAGTCCCCTGTTCAGGTCTCTGTGTGGGGACTACTTTAGGGATCTCATGACGCAAGTTGAAAACTAGAGAATTAACTACAGGGACATAAAAAGTTTGAATACAGCAGATGGGCTAAAATCGGTCGCAAAAGGTGTTAATAAGTACAATTTGGATATTGTGGCATTACGAGAGGTTCACTGGCCAGGAGAGGAATCCATAAGGGAAGGTAAGCACATTGTTTGGTACAGAGAAAGCGGAAATCATTGTTTAGGTTTCAGTTTTCTTATTAGGAATAGATCTGTATCCGCTTTGAGGGGCATACAGTTCTTTAGCAATATGATTTCAATGGCCATATTCCAGGTGCATTGGTTTAAAATCATGTTGATAAACATACATTGTCCGACCAAAGACAGTGATGAAGCCAAAAGCGAGTTTTTACAATAAACTTGAATGATTGTTGATGAAATACTGCGATGCTGCATTAAAATAATTTTAGAATAATTTAAAATAACCTCTTCTTCCTAATTCTCCAACTATTCTTCTCTTCAATTATTCACTAAAGTTAACCATCAATCCAGAATTATAGTAATAATAAAGGAATTCGCTCAATAGATTTGTCACCTCGAAAAATGTAATAATTAAAATGACTACATTTAAACATAAGGATATTCACAAATATACTTTGACATCACCAGATTCGCAAACACGAAATCAAATCGATCACGTCTCAATACAGCATAGGTGGCAAAATAGTATAATTAACATAAGGTATCATGGGGCAGAATATGGGTCAGATCATGAATTAGTAATCACAAAACTTCAACAAAAATTTAATATAAAAATATAAAAGAAAACCGTTTTGATACCGAGAACTTTAATTTGGAAAAATTAAAAAACCATCAATTAGAACTCAATTTAAGCTTGAAGTTAAGAATATGTTGGAAGCTTTAGAATGTTCTGATGTGGACCGTGGTGATACAGATAAATTATGGGTAGAGATCAGGGATAATATTAAAGAGGTTGGTAACTCGTGTCTTGGAAAAAAAGGAAAATAAAAAGAACAAACCGTGGTTGAAAGAATGCGAAAAAAAGAAAAGCCACTAAATTAAAAGCTCTAAATAATCCTAGCAAAACAATCTTGAATACTTCTGAATCTTAAAGAATGAAACTACTAACTTGTTAAACAAAAACAAAAAAAAGAATATCTTAAAAATAAAATAATGGATATAGAAACTAATAGAATATAAAATAACGTAAAAGATATGTACAAAGATAAAAATAAATCATATAAACGTTTAGAACCCATAACGACTAGAATTAGGGATGAAAATAGCAATATCCTCAACAACCCAGTAGACTTATTAGATAAGTTTAAGAAACACTTTGACAATATTTTAAATAAGGGAAGTAATGATCTGTGTCCTCCTGTGTAACAGAGTGCCGAACCGTTAGTAGAAGGACCAAGTAAAAAAGTTGAACCTAAGAAAGTTGAAGTTGGAAGTTGAAATAGCTATCGGAAAATTAAAATCTAATAAAGCAGCGGAAATCAATAATATTCTTAGTGAACTAATTAAGGCATTGGGAAGGGGAAGGGGAAACTGGAGTTTCTAAAATACATTTTTCAGTTAAAAATATCTGAGAAAATGAGAAATTGCCTGAAGAATGGAGGAAATTATCGAAGACTACCAATGCGGATTTAGATGGAATCGTTCGACTATTGATAAAATGTTTTCTTTACAGCAAATATTGGAGAAAAAATTATTCAGACTGAAGAAGGATCAGTCAACCAGAAAATTTAGGCGGTTGCACAACGCTGAATTGTGTGAACTGTACCCGTTTAATATAATTGAGAAGATTAAGTTGAGGCAAATAAAATGGGCATGTAAAGTAATGAAAGAATTCCTAAAATGTTAATATGAGCTGTGCCAACTGGCAAGTGTCAGAGGGACAGGCCAAGGAAAGATGGGAATATTGCATTAATGCTGATCTGGCAGGGTTGGGTTTAGATGGCATCCGGTGGATGGAAGAATCTAGACAACGATTGGTTATATCAGCATCGAACCTTCTGGTTTGTTAAGCCTTATTATTATTATTATTTAAAATAATGGAAGTTTGATTTATTGAATTCAAACATTCAAAATTAACATTATGAGCTAATTTTCATGAACCACATTGGTTTCTCATCAGTTATCTCATGTTTCAGAATAGCTTTTAACAAAGTTTTAGTAACACCTTTTGTGACTTTTATACTTTTGAAGTTTTTTGGCAGTTGATATTTTGCTTTTGCAGGTTGTACCAGAGTATGATGAAAAAAAGGAAAAAGAAAAAGAAGAAAAAGCAAAAGAAGGAAAATCTGTTGAAGTTGGGAAAGATCCTTTTTCAGAGTTTCTTGCTAATAACACTGCAGGAGTTTACATAAGGAATATTGTAAGAATATTCATTTTTTCCATGTTCTGTATTCTATGATAACATCAATCATTTTATCAGTTTTCACTAATAAAATTGATTTTCAATTATAAAAGTAAAGGGACTTTTTTTGATTGAGACATTCGATGCCAGATAATTTTATTTTTATTAAGTTACTATAAGCACCTTTCTACAAAATTGTCTCACTCAACAATGTAATTAAGAGATTAAAGAAAGCATTTATCTTTCATATAAAATTTTGCTTCCTCACTACCAAAGATAGAGAAGTTTAGTTTTGTATTTGTGTGGGAGACTACAAATATTTTTGTCCTCATTACCAAAAATTTCCACTCACAATTTTTGTTTTAGATGTAAAGTAACAAATTGGGTTCCATGTCTCTCTGTAGTCAAAGCCAAGTGATGAGTACATTACACACACTTATAGGATGAAGTTTAGATTGATTAGCTTGTCACTGGACTAACTATAAACCCATTACCAGCTGTTTCAATACTGTCATTTCTTCTTGTGTAGAATAGTGTGTGGCCATCAATAATGGTGTCATCATCTTCTGGCCATTTTACCTTACCTGTTGTACATTTTTAATTCATTGGCTACCATTTGAGTGGCTTTTGGCCTGTAAAAACTCCAAACATTATAAAGCCAGGATCATTACCATGTTTTGACAGTTTCCGAGGCTCTTTTTAAGTTTGGTAGTAGGATGAATTTGTATTTATCTTTATTACCTAATGGAAGCTTACTTAAGGTGAAATGTCAGCATCCATAAATAATTAAACAGTATCCGGCATGTTTCTCATCTTATAATTTATGATTACACTAATTGTACAATTCTTTAATAAAATATAATTTGGTTATCAGGAATGTATTTTTACCAATAGTGTGGTTTTGTTTAAAAAGAGAAGGATTCAGTCTTGAACATTTTCAACTCAAACTTGTGATAGTAATTTTTTAATAAGCAAGTTATGGTCAGAACTCGAAAACTGAAATTTATGTTGTTCAAATTTGAAAATTGCTGACAGCTATAGATTTTATTAGACTAATTACCAACATGAAAACTATTGATTCAGTAGACCTTGAGCCCATAATAATATCTTAAGTCTCATTTTTTTTTCTATGCAATAATGTTGAAATTTCTTTTCTTCAAAAGCTTATTAACATCTGAGGATAAAAATAATTTATCTATGTGCTGATGAGTTAAGAATGGGTAATTCTGATGTTAAAAATACATGAGAATCACCCATACTTACTTATCAATAAGTAAATATTATTTTAAAATTTCATTCTGAATTTAAGCACTCTGTTACTTTTGATTTAAAATATTTTATCACGAATTATACTTATTCATACCATTTCATAATGACAGACAGAAGAAAGTAGAGGAAACAGGGGTTTGCCTGAACGAAGAATTGGTGGTCAGATCTCAGTTCACCGAGTCGGAGAAGATGCCCGTGGGATGTGCCAGTCAGAGCTGTGCCGTTTCAGACATCTCTTACCCCCCGGGATGGTTGTCGATCCACCATCTTCACCCGGCCTTGGTCATCTCCTCTCTCCTTATATCAGACCAAGGGATCAGCAACATCTTTATCTGTGATAATAGGACACAAGTTTTATTATAAATATTAAATAATGTACAGAATTTGTCATATAATTTATTTATTTTAATTATTAATGATTTATGTACATTGATTACTGTGATTGTTTTATGACTTATAATTTTGCAGTTACATAGTCCTCTTTGATTATGCTAACTGCTGACATTTTTTTTTTTTACTTACTATGATGTAAAAATAAAGTAAAGGCCTTAATGATTTTCATATATATAATATATATATATATATATATATATATATATATATATATATATATATATATTATATATTATTATTATATATATATTATATATATATTGTTCTTTTTCCTACTCCCTTCTATCTTATTTAATATTTTTATTTTTTTACTTTAGCTAGTGTAAATTTCAATGAGTATAGTAATGTTTTTTTTTTTTATTTATTCATGATATTTACAACTGTATTAATAAATAAAATACATTTAGTAAATTTGATAACAGAAAATAATAACATGAAATCACTTGTTGAGAAACTACCCACTGGTAGCACTTTAACAACAAAATGTATTTACAATAGGAGATCTCTTCAATCTTCTTTTCAGACGCCTCGGAGGGTTATCAGGGATAGAAGAGGAAGCAAGGTTAGAGAGGAGAGGATTCGGATGGTTCTGAAGTTTATTATGGAAGGATTGGTTTCTGGATTGGGCCAAATCAGAAACATAAGGAACATTAAGGTCATTATGGATTATTTTATTGGTGACAAAGTAAGCAGCATTGAGGATTTTCTGAAGGATTTTGGATTGTAAGGATTGGATACGAGAGGAATTCGATGGCTTAGTGGAGCCCCAAAGCTCAACTCCATAAGTCCAAATAGGTCTTATTGTAGTCATGTATATGAGTCTTTTGTAATTAATTGGAAGCTTAGAGCGTTTGTCTAGTAAGTGTTGGAGTTGTCGGAAACGTCAAGCAGTTTCTTGTTTCAGTTTGGTATAAGGATTCCAAGGTAGACATTTGTCCAAGGGAAGTCCAAGGTATCGGATTTGTTCAACAGGGATATGTGGGGTATTATTTAAGGATACTTTGGGACATGAGGTCATAGGTTTACGTCGAAGGGTAAAGGTAATTTGATGGGATTTATTAGAATTTATTTTAATCCTCCAGTTTTGACAACATTCTTCAAGGCTTGTGATGTGTGATTGAAGAGTTTGGAATACAATGGTTGGGTCATTATTAACGGATAGGACACATGTATCATTGGCATACGTGGTAATAACAGTGTTAGGATGGATTGGGATATCAGCTGTTTAAACTGTGTAAAGGTTAGGACCAATGATACTACCTTGAGAAACAACAGCAGACTGGGAAAAGAGAGATGAATAAGTATTATTGTGATTTACTTTAAAGTATCTATCAGTTAGATAGGAACAGATAATGAGGAAGTATGTAGGATGTAGGAATTTACGGAGTTTGTAAAGCAGTCCCGGGTGCCAGACTCGATCAAAAGTCTGTTCTACATCGAGAAAGACTCCCGTGCAGTATGCTTGGCGCTCTAATGCAGAGGAGACAACACCCACCACATGATGGATTTGGATAGTAATGTTGAAATTCTTTTTTCTTTTAATGGAAGATGAATATTCTGTCATATTTTAATTTTGGGTATATATTATCAACTTAGTTTTTATAATTTTATATTGTGCTTCTTTTATTTTAAAGAATAGTGCAATATTTCCATATACCTTTATTTGCACACCTAGGATTAATTTTAATACCTTTTTTTTTTTTACTATTATTTCAAGTTATTTATTTTTTACTTAGATTTACAATAGAACTTTAGACTATGTGTTAAATAGTCTGACCTTAAAAGATGAATAGAAACTGATTATTTTTAGTATGAACCTTGGACTTGTAAATACTGCATTATTTAAAACAGGCAATAATTAAACCTGAATATCTTATATATATATAGATAATCCCTTCTATCTACAGATCACATAGGAATTGTATACTTTGAACAAACTGCATTAATATATGTATACATATATATAATTATTATTTTTTGGTCTATTGATAATATAATAATGCACTTTGTTCAAAGTATATAATTCCTATGTGATCTGTAGATAACAGGGATTATCTCACTATTGATTCATATCCTAAGGATTTCATGTCCCTCAATGGAATAATAATAAGAAAATTCTGTCAATATTAGATAATTATTCTTAATTAGAAAATGGATCATTTAAATTATGTTTCTAGACAGGTATATTGAGCATAATCTTGTCTTTATAGTACAGAAAATGTTTTGGCTTTTTTATTCATACATTTATTCAATTTAAGTGATGGACGAAATGCCAGTGATACTTTTAATGATAAAATTTTAAGTTTATTGTATATTACTATTATAAATTGTATTAATACATTTTAAAAAAAACTTAATGCATATGTAAAGTGCTTGAAGATGGATTTGTACCATTTTTGTATTGATAATATTTTTATACATATGTTCATGTCGTTATTTCTTAAATTTGTTCATGATCCCTATAAGTGCAAAAACCATTCCAGATAGAATAAAACAGATGCTACAGAAAACTAATCCTGCATAAATGGATCCTGTTCCTTCAATCAGCAATTCTGTGGAATAAATACAATAGAATAAATTAATGACAATTAAAGAAATTGATTAAATTTTATTTATTTAAAATTAAGATCTGAAGGAAGCCAAAACTGTTTAAAGGTGTTGCCTGTTTTAGCATTATTGAGTCAGATGTGGCACCAGTTGGAATTCGACCATACTAGCTAGAAATTCAGTTTGTCGCAGACCTATGGCAGATACACCTGAGGATGTAAAAAACTAGATCTGAAGAGATTTCCTCAAAATATTTTGTTTTTAAAATCATCCACAATTTTAAAAAGATAAAGTAGATAAGGTATGAAATCATATCAACTCCTCAGAGAACGGCCTTTGATTTTTTTATCTATGATATTCGTTTAGATTTTTTTATCAGGAGGATAGTTTGTGAATCACACTTAATATGCTATATATAATAATATCTATTGGTATAAATCTTCTCTATATTTCTTTTCTGTTTTTAACTCAACAAATGTGGTGGGCCGGGTAGACGAATGGGCTAACGAGTGTGCACACCACCGCCACTGCCCGGCAACCTGATATATGAGACAACGATGAAAAATAATTTCGAGATCGCATCCCGGTGCCAGAGGAGTCTTTTAAATCCCGCCCACACTCCCTGGCCCTGGAGAACCCCATATAGCCTTAAAGGGGAGGACCCAAAAAAAAAGAAAAATCTACAAACCAAAATTAATGGTGATGACACTAAATACTGAAAACATGTTAATATTTTTAAATTAAAAAACGGAGAATACTGTTATTGAATGTTGTAGAGGATACTGTATGAATTGCTTATTGTATGATCCAAGTTATTTACATGTTTTCTCAAAAATAAAAAATCACTAACTTACAAGGAAAATACTAGACACAGAATATATTTTTCTAGTTCAACTAAAAAACCATGGCTCCAACATTTGTGGAACAAGTCTCAAGTAATGTCCTACTTTGTTACTAATACAAACTCCTGTAAATATTTTAAATAGAAAAATAAAATCAACTTAAAAATTTTACCTGCAAATAGTAGTCCAATGAAACATGCAATTCCTTGGACAAAGAAAAGCATCCCCATGCAACTGGTCAGTCTGTCAAGACCTAATTTTTCAATTATTACAACACTTCTTAATGGATTTATAATGGCTGAAATAATGTAATAAGTAATTAATTAGAGATTACTGACAGTTTATAATATTGATTTTACTTTTTTAATTTTTTATTACATGGAAAAGCTCCACCAAAGAATGCAAAACCAATTTGATAAGGTGTTGCGTGACTGAGCATCACGCTCAAAAATATCAAACCACTGGCAAATGATGCGATAACTATAATTAGCAGAGCACTGATTGAGGGAAAAAAATAAAGCATGAACCCAACTAATAATCTAAATGTTGTCACTCCAGCACCCATTAGAATAGGTATCATTAATCGATAACATTCTTCCATTTTACCTTCGTTTACTCCTGAAACAGAAAATAACATATACATATTAAGATTCTCAATTAGCCAGCTTTGTTTCTGGTTGTTCAAAAATTATGAAAGATTTTTAAATTCATACCTACTTTTAAGTTGAAGAAATGGAATATATACGGCTGTGTAAAATAAAAAGGTCGCTAAAACAAGCAGTAAAAATACTGCTGATTTCAATAATGATAAATCAATCATTTCTGATACGGCTCTTGACACCGCTTCTGGTATTTTCCAATGTCCTTCTCTTTCCTCTTTGACATCTTGTACAGTTGGTAATTTTGAGAGTGGAAGTGTGTAGGCTTCTCTTGGCTTCAACCAAATAATAATAATAATAATGTGTTATTTTCTTTTTTAATTCATTCAGGTCACCATAGTATTAAAAAAATATATTTTAAGTTTTATTTCCTTAAAAGCAAAGCCGCTTTAATTACAAAAACATCAACAATAAGGTTTTTGAAAGTTGGTAAATAAAAACAATTTTTATGCTTGTAGAAAAAAATTGAATAATTTGTTTATTTAAAATGTTTATATTAACATACTTATAATAAAAACATTATAAATGGCCTATTCTCCAGTCAGTAAGCCAGGTGTTGTTTATTTGAATTATTTACAAACAATTGAAAGAAAAAAATTGTAAAAATAAAACAGGAAATAGTTCATCAAGTTTCAAATATGTTACATACCTAATACATTGCATAAAAAAAAGTTTAATTTCCTGACACGATAAAAAATAAACATATAAGATTTAATAGACAATTAATAATGAATATGCTAAACTAATAAATAATAATTACTGAACTAATATTAAATTATTTGAACAATTTTTTCTATAATTCCACTCTATTTCCAGGCAACTATTGCAAAGCCAAAAGGATATTAATGTGTTAAATCCGTTCATTAATAAGGATGTAATGATTTTTTGTGCAATGGCTCCACCAATTTTTAAGATATAGATTAAATTATTTAGAGAGTTTTCACGAGTCTTTTGATAGAAATTGAACTCAAGATATTAAAAAAAAATGTTCTTATTATAAAGCATTCTCATTTTTTGTTAGTTTCCAATATCCGTTATGGCGCTCCAGGGAAGTACATTTTGACAGCACAAGCAAGATTTTGCCACCCATTTTTGTACCTCCCATCATGCCCTGATAAAGGTCAATATTTTAGATAATATATTTGAAATAAATACCATCATCTCATAACATTAGATAATTACTAATTATTGACTAAATTAAGATGAAAAAGGTTAAATATATAAATTAATTTTTTTCTTAAGTTAAAAACAATTTCACTTGAAATTTCATGCCCTCTAAATTTGTTCCCCTTGGACTGAATTTGCCCCTCTCCAGTTTGGGCCCTGAATATACTAACGTGTTTAAGTAGATACACAAGAACATCCGCTCAGGTGAAATGGGATTATTTCCATAGTAGTTTTTAAAAATAATTTTTGACTTTATTTTATTAAACTATTTCATTTTTCATCATTCAAGTAATCTATATTGCTTATTATTATTATGAAGCATAAGATTGAGAAAATGATTGTATTTAGATATTCAAAATATTTGGAAAATTGAGGAATTGAATTGAGATTTTAGAATTGAATTGGTAAGTTGAGAGATCCTGGGTTTAAGGAATTGAGTAATAGATACTAAATGTTTGAAAAGCAACAAAGCACAAAACCAGTCCAATGCACAGCATAATAAGTTCAAGGTAACCTGGAAGGATTAATAATTAAAATATCATTGATAAGAGTTGTGGGATTTATGGTAATATGTTCCCAAATCAAGTGACTATCTCAACCCAATGGTTTCCAGCTAAATTTTAAATATACCACAAAAAGTGACTTTAGAGATTTATAAACTCACTGATTCAATTATTTTTTAAGACGAGTGATCAGTGAACCGGACAAACTGAAACTAAAGATAAAGAGTGATATTATAATTTCTTACGGTATTGTTCAGTTCTGAAGCTTGATCCAGATTGCCTTGGTAAAATATATCTTTTCTATACAGTGGTCGCGAGCCTGCCATGGCTTTGCCGAAACAGTTACAGCAACTGGGGCAGCAGCTACTCCGTCTAGTGTACTCATCTGATACTTTTTGGGATGTAGAAGGGACTGGAACCCCACTTTGTTCAGATATTCTACTCATTATTCTATTAGGGATTTCATGAGCGCTTTCCATCTTTTCAATGTTTTTACTGAAATCATTATAAGTGTTTCTTTATCTAAAAATAATAATAATAATAATAATGTATGTTCGACATCATTCATTAGAAATGAAAAGAAGTGTTGTTCGAAAATGTGAACATGTTGGTTCACTCTCATTTAGACAGTGAATATAGTAAATGACCTCACTACAGGCTCCATCCATCAAAGAGAGCATGACCTAGGTTATTCAAGATGTGGACAAGTGGAGATGGGCCAGTTCTTGTGTGGGAATACTGTGCTCATTAAAATCAAAATTTATGAAACTGAAAATTGGATCAGTCCTTGGCCATTTTCGTTTGTGGTATTATGCGGACTTAGGATTCTTATTATTGGTCTGTATACCTCCTCTTTTCCAACATCGGCATTAAAATCACCTGCTACGACCTTCTTATCATACTGGGAGCATGTAATTTTTCTATTTTCGTGTGGAAATTCTTTATTCACATTAAATTTTGAGGGTGTATGTGCATTAGTTATATTTACATTAAATAGGCTCCAAGTAATCTTATCTTGCATCACTAACGGATCCAGGATTTAATTTTGGAGGGGCTTCAGCCCGAAAGATTTTTTTTCATATACATGTAACGATAATTAATTTGAAAAAAAAGAAAAAAAAATTAACTACCTATATGAAATGGTGTTTAAATGGTTCTTGAAGTCTTACTAAATGTAATTAAGCGAACAAGAATAATCTAAGAGTTAGCTTTTAAATTTTTTTTCTGTAAAACATGGTTATATTTTACCATTTTTTTTGGGGGGGGGGCTTCAGCCCGAAAGCCCCTCCCCTCCGTAGATCCGTCTGTGTCTTCCATATACGGTCACTAACCGACTAAAACTCCATTATTGCATTTAGATGAGAATACTTTACTTCCGCTGTAGTATAGATCACGTCCCTTCTTCAGACTTCTGACCATGAGTTCATCAATAACACCAGGTCTAAAGAATGCCCTCAGATTACACCAGTCTGTGTATTGATTTATTCATCTGAAATAAGAGGTGTCGTTGCCGTGTGCCAGTCCGAAATCCGAGGCATCTTTGTTACAATACATTTTTCTTTTATGTAGATGGGGTTGTTAGCCTCATGACACAACCCTCCTCTTTTGTCCGGGTTTCGGACCGGCTGTGAGCACCATAAAGCGACTCATAGGAATTGTTTAAAAAACCATTTTATCTCACTTTTCTTATGTGAGAGTTCTCACTAGGTTGTACTAGTATCCTTTAATAACTTTAGCTTACCAACTTTAGCCCCGAAATACATTTTAATAATTTAATATTGACTGGACAACATATAACATAAGGGAACTATTCCATAAAATATAAAAAAAATAGTTACCTTTTTTTTTCTAATAGTATAACTCTACGGTTTTCAACAGAAAAGAAAAATCTTATAGTTCTGGTACTTGAATATAAAATTGAATTTGAAAAAAAATATTGAAAATAGAATTCCAATTTATTGATATAATAGGAAATAGGATTGGATAAATTGTAAAACATTAATAGGTTATTGTCAAACTATAAAACATCGACAGTAATCAATGAATATCTTGTAACTCTATTTTGTTAAATTTAAAAAGGAAACAAAACAAGTGTTTAGAAAAATGTATAAAGTGATAATGATATAGTTTCAATATTTTTTACTGTATAGTACGATCCTTATTTATTTCAGGTATGTACTTTCAAATCTCTCTTTATATACAGAGTTCTAAGACGAGTTGTAGTAGGAGTTGACATATGGAGTGCGATGTTATCATTATCTGCCGTTGATACACAAATTTGAAAGTTCATTTAATTTTGACTTTATATCATCCAAAATAGGCATAATATGGATTGGTTCTATCCTGCTACAACTAGCTCTATTTCAACGGACATTTTGCTAGCTGGGTTTGTCAAGGTCCTAACTGGTCTAACCAAAACTTTGAGTAAAACGAGTTTTAAAATTTAAAGTGATATAACTTTTTTGAAGCGAATACTTGTTTAAATTCGTTTTGTACTTTTTTTGTGGAGAATGAATTAAATTAAGCCGTCAGAATTCCTATGTGTAACGCTCAGGTAGAGTGGGCTGGAGTCGCATTTTTGCATATGGATTAAAATATCTCAAAAACTAAAATTCGCACCTGCATACTCTAAGCGAGGGAATTGTTCAGCATTTCATCCTCCCTGTAATGGGCTATTATATAAAATTGTATCCTAACGCGACGCCGTGTTAGGGAGGCAAAAATAAAAAATTAGCGTCGAAAACCAAATGATAACGAATTTTATTGAAGATATGGATTAAAATATCTCAGATACTAAAAATAGGACATGCATACTGTTAGCGAGAAAAATGTTAAGGATTTCATCCTCTTTATAATGAACTATTATTTATAATTTATGTTTCATATTATTTATCTCGCCTTGTTTATGTAAACATTATTATGTATAGGTTTGTACATCTTGAAAATAGTTTAAAATTATGAAGGAACTTTACCTGTATGATTCATCTTCCTTTCAAATCAAAACCTCATTTTTCTTATGTATGTTCATGATCCCATCAATTAAAATAAGTACATAAGATTTTAACATTTAAAAAAAAACATTAAAAGAGTGGGGCATATGCCGATGACACATGTATCCTATCAGTAAACAATGACCCAGCAATTGCATCCCAAATGCTTCAATCACACATCATAAATCTAGAAGAATGGTGTAAAAACTGGAGAATTAAAATAAATTCCAATAAATCCCACCAAATTACATTTACCCTTCGTCGTAAACCAACGACTTCCTGTCCTACAGTTTTCTTTAACAATACTCCACTTATCCCTGTTGAGCAAATCCGATACCTAGGACTTCACCTGGACAAACGACTAACTTGGAATCCTCATACTAGACTGAAACAAGAAACCGCTCGACGTTTCCGACTACTCCAACACTTACTAGACAAACGCTCTAAACTTCCCATTAATTACAAAAGACTCATATACTTGACTATAGTAAGACCTATTTGAACTTACGGAGTTGAGCTATGGGGCTCCACTAAACCATCGAATTCCTCTCGCATCCAATCCTTACAATCCAAAATCCTTCGTAAAATCCTCAATGCACCTTACTTTGTCACTAATAAAATTATCCATAAAGATCTTAATGTTCCTTATGTTTCAGATCTGGCCCAATCCAGATACCTATCCTTCCATAATAAACTTCAGAATCATCCCAACCCTCTCGTTTCTAACCTTGCTTCCTCTTCAATTCCTGATAACCCTCCGAGGCGTCTGAAAAGAAGATGGCCCCGTGATCTCCTAATTTAGTCATATCATAAGAGTGCTACCATTGGGTAGTTACTCAGCAAGTGTATTCATGTCATTATATCTATTATGTCCAAATTTACTTGATGTATTTATGTAATACAGTTGTAAATGTCATTAAGAAATAAAAAAAAAGAAAAAAAAAAGTGGGGTAGTCCCGGGTTTGAATCTGGCTGATCGTAGGTAATTATTTATTTTGCTTCACAGCCGTGAATATGTTGTGGGTTTTTCCTTTCCATTTTTTTTCTTATAAGTAAAAATTTTATTAATACCAGCCTGTTCTGTTTAGTTGGTGATCTATATCTGGTGATCAGGTCTATCCCTGAAAGACTGAGATTAATTTTGAGTTATTTTTTATTGCGTTTACTAAAGCCTCTTCCAGAGAATTCGGCGTTTCATTTGTTATATTTTTGAAATTAAATAGTATTAGAATTTTTTTTATCGATTTAAGAAATTCTTTTTAATCTGTGATTTGCAGTTTTGCATAAGTAAATTTGCAGTTTTTAATAAGTTATGTGAATTTTCTAGCTTGGATTTATATTTGTTTGATTCACTTTTTTAACTTTCCATCGATTATTTTAAATTTTTCATTTCTCTTTTTTACTTGACCGAGGATTTCTGGAGCGTTCCTAAATACTTTTATTATTTTAATTTATGAGATTTGATTGATTTAGTGGTAATAATAAGCGGCCTTAGTAATAATAATAATAAAATACTGTCGACTGAACCGATAAGATATGTCTATCTTATTAGCTCAACAATATAAAGAATATTTTATCACTTCGACATCTACTTACATTTTTTTGGTATTAACTAGGTCCATTGCTGTTACACTCCTCATCGGTACGTTTTCGACTACAGCCTGCCCTTGCAGCTCTATCATTGGCGGAGGATACAACAAGACTGAGAGGGAACCCGTCAAACTAATAATAACTGCAACAATCATGAAGTAAATTAAATATAAATAAATAATTCAAATCCTTGACTTATCACAGAGGATCCCAACTAATTTACTTTTCCTATACATTCTCTACCTCCTTATATTTTTATGAATTTATATTAATATTATTCGATTCTCATTAATATTGTTTTATTAATGGTTTTTATAATGATTGTGTATGGGTTTGATTATTTTCAGAGGGCGGCCCCTCCACGCCCAGTGATATAATAAAAGGCCTTTGGCCACAGATGCAAATAACGCATACAGCGTGCAGAGCCCTCTTACCTTAAAATGCCCTTGGGCAATAAAAGGAAATTGAAAATTTATGTATATATAACATTTATATATATATTGAATTTGTAACCAAGAAATTCCTGGGGGGTAGGGAAAAAAAAAAAAAAAAAAAAAGATTATTTCAGCTCATTACTTTCTTTGTGGTTCTTAAATAAACTTTAGTATAACAAGATTTAAATAAATAATTATATATATATATATAAATATACTTATTTTCGGTTGGCTCTACAGATCTTGTAGATCTTAGGCCGCCTCAACCAGCCTTCTCCACCTCTGCCTATCTTGGGCTACTGCTTTCAAGTTTGCGTCATGAATCTCAGCCGTATCTTTGTTTATCCTATCTATCCATCTGGTTTTTGGCATCCACATGATCTCTAGCCTACTACTCTGACATTCATTGTCGTGTAAAGACGTACTGATGGATTGCTACGAACTACATACCCTGCCCATCTTAACCTCCTTGCCTTCATGTTATGAGATATTGACTGACCCGTTTCTTTCAGCAGTTCTTTATTGTTCCTTCTCCTCCATGTGTCAAGGTTCTGGTCCCATATAGGTCCTGTTATCCTACGTAGAACTTTTCTTTCGAATCTCTCAATTCTTCTAGTGTGCCGGTTAGAGCCCAGGTTTCACAACCATACAGCAGAATTGGCTTTATCACGGCGTTGTACACCCTTATTTTGAGATTTCTGGATTTCAGTACCTTTGAAAGAGAGAAGAAAGATCTGTTCGCACTTGTTATTCGCTGGTCTATCTCTGTTAGTTGATCGTTTATTGAGGTTATTGTGGAGCCGAGGTATTCAAATCTGTCTACTTTCGGGAATGACTTAGAGTCCACGCAGATCATGTTATTAGGGTGGATGTTTCGGCTAACTATCATGTATTTTGTTTCATCTACATTGACCTGTAGTCCGATTTGCTCCGCTTCTTTTAATAGAGTGAGAGCGAGTCTCTCAACCTCCTAGTCTCTCAATATCTTTTTTCTCTACTTTCTCTAGTGCTAAGTTGAAAAGCATCGGCGAGAGTCCATCTCCCTACCTCAAGCCCGTTCGAACTTCAAAGGCTTCAGATACGTCTCCTTGTATTAGTACCCTGCATTTAGGATTATTTGTACACGCCTTCGTCATCCTCACTAATTTCCTGGGAACACCCAGCTCAGTCATGATCTTCCAGAGATAGTTTATGTCAACGAAGTCATAGGCTGATTTGAAGTCGATAAATAATGCGTGTACGTTCTAATCTACTTCCCATCGTTTTTCAAGTACTTGTTTTAGAAGGAATATCTGATCTAGCGTACTCCTCCCTCTCCTGAATCCTGTTTAATGATCGCCTATTATGTTTTAATAATACGGATATATTCGATTTAGCAGAATATTAGTCATTATTTTATAGGCGACCGGAAGAAGTGCTATGCCTCTGTAATTGCGACAATCATATATGTAGCCCTTCTTAAGGATAGGACAGATCAACCCTGTGTTCCATGCTTCTGGTATCTGTTCCTCCTCTCATATCTTCTGGATTAGATCTAACAGCTTGTCTCTGAGTTCTTCTCCTCCATCCTTGAACAATTCTGATGGTAGGTTGTCTATCCTTGGAGCCTTTCTTCTTTTAAGCCTGCCGATAGCTATTTCCACATCCAGAATATCTGGTTTTTCAACCTCAAGTGGATCGATGTCCTCAGTGTGGTTCATGTCTTCTTCGTTTGTGGGGTGCCCTTGATTAAGCGGCTGCTGGAAGTGTTCCTTCCAGTTGCTTAGGATCGTTTCTTTTGATGCTGTCAATTTGTCATCTTTCTCTCCCATTTGTGTATTTCTCGCTTTATATCCTACCCTTTATTTCTTGATATCTGCGAAGAATTCGCATATATTTCCAGCCTGCCAGTTTTCCTCAATAGTATGTAATCTTTATTTGAGGAATTCTCTTTTGGCTGTTCTTATTATTTTGTTTGTCTTTTTCTAGGCGGCTGTGTATTTGTCCAGCATAGCTTGATCAGTTTGTAAGCAGAGGACTTTTCTTTTTAGCTTTCTTCTTTCCTCCACTGCCTTTTCGCATGCTTCTGTGAACCATTTCTTGGTCTTTATTTTTTCCTGGAGGCTGGATATGCTTCAGAAGGATATACCGACCCCCGGATCTTAGAATTCCAGTGCCTAATTCACTGAGCTACCGTAAATAAAATATATATTAACTTAATTATTTAATTGAAAATAAGGTCACTTAATTTTTATACAATAAACTACTAAGTGTTCATTGCTTCTTTGTTTATTCGATGTTTCAATCCCGGTTTTTCTACAACTTAACAATGGCATCCTACAGTAGCTTAATATCTGCTGGTGGGCGGAGCTGAGACTGTCGGTGTGTCCCTGGCCTGAGGTATTGAGGCTCTATTTTAAAGCTTTGAAGAGGATCCCATTGTTAACTTATAAAAATCCAGGATCGAAACATCGAATAAACTCAGAAGCAATGAATATTCAGTAGTTTATTGAATAATTTCTAAGTGACGTTATTCCCAATTAAATAATTAAGTTAAAATATAATACTCAAATGTCGGTTGAAGAAATTTTATAATATGTTTGAGTGTGTGTACATGTACGCACTAGCGGATCCAGGATTTAATTTGGGGGGGCTTCAGCCCGGAAGCTTTTTTTTCATATATATAACGATTACATTGGAAAAACAGAAATATACTAACTACCTATATGAAATGGTGTTTAAGTGATTCTTGAAGTCCTATTAAATGTAATTAAACGAGCAATAATACTTTAAGACATAATTTTTTAATATTTTTTACCATAAAACATGGTTACATTTTACCATTTTGTGGGGGGAGGGCTTCAGCCCGAAAGCCCCCCCCCTTAAATCCGCCTGTGCATGTACGTAAGAGGTAACGGAGTAGCTCAGTAAGTTAGTCGTGTTATAATATAATTGTTTTATTAAAATAAATAAGTTCAGCCGAAAATTTTATATGAAATCTATCGATAATTAATAATTGATATTATTTATTCATTTTCTAATAAATTCAATTTAACTAGGTGGTTGCATATAATTAACAAAAAAATAAATCCTTTTTTTCTATTTCTTAGTAATTAGATATTTTTTTCAATATGTACTACAAAACTTTAGATACAATATCATTACCGAGCAACACAAGAGATACTATACTTACAATGTGAAATAAAAAATTTAACCAATATTCTTACGATTAAAATAAAAATAAATTTTTATTCTTTTTTTTTTTAGATATTAAAATAAACAGTTGGTTCCTAACTGTCGTAACACCAAAACTAGATAAAAATATTTATAGTTTATTAAAGACAGCCTCTTACTTGCCCAAAGTATGAAGCAATACCTCCAACCCAACTTATCACTGCAAAATTGTGATATATTGATACTTAGTACTGAAAAACCTGTCGCAGAGCTGACGATTCCGAGAGCTATAGGTCTCTTCCTCTCGAACCAGAATCCCGGAGCAACTGCGCTGACTATGAGGATGAACGATGAACCAGAGCCTGCAAGTAATGCTCAGTTAAAATCAGTTGTGGCCTCCTTTCTCTAGAATTAAGCAAAATTCATGTCTCAATCAGGACTAGACAATCTGTGGCCCGCCACATTTTCTGGAGTGTACCATAAAGATATTACAGTATGATTTTTTTTTTTGTTTATTCATGATATTTACAACTGTATTAATAAATAAAATACATTAAATAAATTTGATAACAGAAAATAATAACATGAAATCACTTGTTGGGAAACTACCCACTGGTAGCACTCTAAAAACAAAATGTATTTACAATAAGAGATCTCGAGACCATCTTCTTTTCAGACGCCTCGGAGGGTTATCGGGAATAGAAGAGGAAGCAAGGCTAGAGACGAGAGGATTCGGATGGTTCTGAAGTTTATTATGGAAGGATTGGTATCTGGATTGGGCCAAATCGGAAACATAAGGAACATCAAGGCCATTATGGATTATTTTATTGGTGACAAAGTAAGGAGCATTGAGGATTTTCCGAAGGATTTTGGATTGTAAGGATTGGATACGAGAGGAATTCGATGGCTTAGTGCAGCCCCAAAGCTCAACTCCGTAAGTCCAAATAGGTCTTAATGTAGTCATGTATATAAGTCTTTTGTAATTAACTGGAAGCTTAGAGCGTTTGTCTAGTAAGTGTTGGAGTACTCGGAAACGTCGAGCGGTTTCTTGTCGTTTCAATCTAGTATGAGGATTCCAAGTTAGTCGTTTATCCAGGTGGAGTCCTAGGTATCGGATTTGCTCAACAGGGATAAGTGGAGTATTGTTAAAGGAAACTGTAGGACAGGAAGTCGTTGGTTTACGTCGAAGGGTAACAGTGATTTGATGGGATTTATTAGAATTTATTTTAATCCTCCAGTTTTGACATCATTCTTCAAGGCTTGTGATGTGTGATTGAAGAGTTTGGGATGCAATGGTTGGGTCATTATTAACGGATAGGACACATGTATCATCGGCATACGTGGTAATAACAGTGTTAGGATGGGTTAGGATGTCAGCTGTATAAGCTGTGTAAAGGATAGGAGCAAGGATACTACCTTGAGGAACACCAGCGGACTGGGAAAAGAGGGATGAATAAGCATTATTGTGATTGACTTTGGAGTATCTATCAGTTAGATAGGAACGAATAATGAGGAAGTATGTAGGATGTAGGAATTTACGGAGTTTGTAAAGTAGTCCGGGTGAGTTTATAAAGTAGACTCGATCAAATGCCTGTTCTACATCGAGAAAGACTCCCGTGGAGTACATTCCGCGCTCTAATGCAGAGGAGACGTCCACCACACGATGGCATTGCTGGATAGTGGAATGGGATCTGCGGAATCCTAACTGGTGATCTGAGATTATGTGATTAGAATCTAGGATTGGGTACAGGCGTTTTAGGATGAGTTTTTTCAGTACTTTACCCATGATGGGTAAAACAGAGTTAGGACGGGTATATTTTTTTTTCGTTTACCCTCTACCTTCGTTGTTGTGGTAAACGATAGAATTATTCTAGAGCTACATCCAAACCTATGCTAAGCAAAGCATATGTTAGGGAACAATTATTTTCCGAAATTAATAAATATCACAAATCGAGATATGTAATGCTCGGTTAAAAAGCTGCATGCAAGTTACTATGTCGTCTATGTCTGCAACTAAGGACCAATCATTTTCCACATATATCTTTCACCATTTTTTTCAAAAACATTTTTATGAATGAATGTTCTTTATTTTTTATAGGTTTCTTTTCTTAAAAAATATATAATTTTTATATATATACTCATTTGCAAATGAAGGAAATCATTGTACGACCATTGAAACTGTTTATAAAATTGTGAAGAATCAATATTTTCTTTATTTGACAGCTGTTGATGGTTTACACTTGCAATGTGTTATTCCTTTGAGTAAATCCTCTCAGACATAAAAAATAAGGAATTTTCATTAGTTCTTTTCAGTTTATAGCTAGTGCTCACTTAACTTTATTTTTCGTAAATCTACTTTCTTGACTAGCCGTTTTTAGTATTTTTTATAAGACCATTTTAAAGTTTTTTTGGGTATTAAAGAACCTCTGCGCGACGTCTTTCATCAGCAGAGCTTTTTATTAGTTAATAAGAATTATTGTTTATTCAGTCGTTATATTGTTTCTGTTTATTTCATGTTTATGTATGGTGTAAATGTGGTCTTAGCTCAGTATAATTAATGTCCAATTGGCAGAATGGTATATTGCTCAATAAATAAAAAAAAGAAATAAGAAATGTGACAAAAAAAAGTTTTTTGTCTCTAGTGTGCAAATTAGCCTTTAATTATTTAAAAGAAGAATGATTGAGCATGGATTGCATCGGCGATGACATCTCCAGGACTCACTCCACAACATAAAGCTCAAAGACTTCCATTCACTTGGATTCATAATTAATTGATCGGGTAATTTCCATTTCATAGATGAGTCTAAATGTTTGCTCTACCACGATTCTAACCGAGCAAGAGTTACCAGAAGGTATGTTGATCGATACAATCCTTCTTTGGTCTTACCTGTTCTCTCGTTTGAATGAGGATCAATTATAGTGTGGGGTGGTATATCGTCAACTATTCAGAGTTACTTAGACAGAGTTTAAGCACCAACAATGCAGCCTATGGCAGAAGAAATTGAACCAAAATTCGCTTTTGTCGATGACAACGCCAGAGCTCAAACAGCTCAGAGCATACTCGCAAATGTATGCCTTCAAAATCAAGAAATTTGCTGCCTTGATTGGCCTACTTGCTCTCCAGACCTACATCCCATTACAAATTTATGGGGTCGACTTCAAAGACAGATTTCATTGCGGAATACTCTTCGAAAAATACTGGAAGAGCTGCTTACAGCACTCATAGAGTAATGGAAGACGATCCCTCAAGATAGCTCAAAATGCTAATAAGAAGTATGACTCGGCAGTAATTAATGCTCGAGGTGGAACAACAAGGTTTTTAGAATTTTTTTTTTATTTATTACTTGTAAGCCTGTAAAAGTAGTATTTTAAAAATTAAAATAATTAAATAAGATTTTTTTTATCTTATATTGAATGATCCAATTAATTTGAAATTGAGTATATATGCATCATTCAGTTATTGATTATTAATAAATTTCAAATTATTTAAACCGCTTAAAATTATTTCACTACTGGCAGATTGAGATTTTTGTCGCAACCAAGTAAAATCGGCGATTTACTGTACCTGCGATGACACCGTAAAGGAAAACGGTGAGGACGTAGTTGCTGATCCAGAAGATAGGTAATAGACCTACAACCATCAACACCGAACCAATTATGAATGCTATTCTGAAGCCAAATCTGTTACAGATCCCTCCCGCAACAGGACCTGCGAAATAGCCAAGAATTATATCTGGTCTATAAACTACAATTATTAACGCTCTGAGAGTATTTTCTCATATAAAATAACTTTAAGACTTGGCAAATGTAAGTTATGGAATACAAATTAAAATATAACATAACACTTTGGCATAATTTCGTTGGTAAGATTTTTATGTTGATTCCTATTCCTATAGTATTACTTAAATTTAGAATAACTTGTGTTTGAACTTTGGATTCCAGTGTTTTATAAATTAAAATTTATCTTGGAACAAAAATTTAAAATATAATATAAAATATATTTTTTGAAATTGTACTGTTTCAATAGTATAATAGTTTATTAACTCTACTTTTATTTATTTTTCTTATAATTTAGACCTTCAGTCTTTTGATAATTTAAAAAGTAGGACTGGCTGACAATAAATCAAAACCGTGAAGTCGAAAATATAGCAAGTTGTAAATATTATAATTATGTAAGCCAATAACTAATTTTATAATTATTATAATGCTGGTCATTCTGTTGTACAGAGGAACAAGTCGTAATACGTGCCACAAATATATGCCAGAGATATATCGATGTGTAGTAGTATGGATCTCTTGCAGATTGATAGACCGTTGACTTTCGATAACCTATATTTATATTTTAAAAAATACAACTAATAATAATAAACATACATAAAAAATGTCTAAATGATTTTCTTCATATCCTATATTGAGTAATTTAATTCATCTCTCTCTAGTTCTTAGTAATAAGTTTTTTAAAAATTGATGTTAATATTTTTATAGATATTTAGTAATTGATTTAATATTGATTTTCTTTTATCGTTTTTTTAAGCTGTTCTATTGAATTTTTTAATTTCTAGTTTTCGATTTCTATTTCCTAGAAATAAGGTTTTGTTTTCTTCATTGACAAATCTGAATACAACTTTACTCTTTAATTTTTTTATAAGTAATATAAATACTTAATTTTTATTAGATTTAAATTCGTTTTAGTTCTATGCTCTCTCTTTCGAAGGTTAAAAACATCAGGCCAAAAATTTCGATATTTTTATTTTTATTTCGATACATTTGCCTCAATAATTTGAAAAATATTGATATTTTTTATATATATTTACATCCTTATATTAATTATCTATAATCGGTTATAAATCAAGTTAATACAATAAAAATAAAACATCATTATAGCACACTAAAATATTATGAAAACAGCGTCGTAGAAAGAACATGTAATGCGAACGATATGCGATTATTATGTTTAGGATGCCTTCTTTGTCAAGCCAATTCTCAAGCATATACATTATTTAATACGTATTCAGGTTTAAAAAATATTAAAGTATAGAATTATGAATATTTAATATTCTGTTTTATACCATTGTGTTATTGTATATTGGTTTATATCCATTTAATAAAAAGATAATAGTACTGTTTTTTTTACAGTGTCTTTCTTATTAAAACATCCCTTTTAATATGATAAATTTTGTGCTTTTACTTAAGTAAGTAAGTGATAAGTTTATAGCTTGCCACAAGTATTCAATGGACATGTCAAATCGTTAAGCAATATATCATTATCAATTGATGTGTGTTCATATTGTTTATTTTTACTGATCTATTTAAATATATAATGTAGAGGTTAGTTTTTTCTTTTCAGCTTTAGAAATGTTTTTTCTTTTCTATAACAGATCTATTTCAAATAAGTCTATGTAGGATTAATATTTTACAATTTCCTGCATATGGTTATGATATATATGGATATGATATGTTTGTTTATTGCATTTACAGTATTGGGTGTTGATTGCAAATCTGTATAAATTATTTTATAACGGAAATGGTTAATAAATGGTACGTTATCGATTTAAGTGAACCGTGTCTAGATTTTTTTGTCTTTTCATCTTCAATTTGATTTATTACTATTAAAACCACAACAGCCATAAACCATAAACATCTTAACTTTCTTATTTTCATATTGCTAGATACGTGAATAGTACTGTATTTTATAGTTAAATGCCAAGACCAAGTGATTTCAATCAAATAAAGCCATCATCGGTGGAGCACGCTCAACGAGGTTAGGCATGCCTCAACTTTTTCTGGTTTGTCTTGTCTAGAAGAATTCGGATTAGAATTCTATAATTTAAAATATTTTTGAACGCACACGAATGGTAGAGCTACACAAATATTTGTCATTGATTATGGGTCTCAGCTTTACTTACCTAAAAGCTGCATGAGTAGAGTGTAGGTGGAGAAGATTATGGTAACGGATGGTTTCGATGCGTGGAGCGTTTCGAGAAGAAATGGTACTACGACCTGGAAGCTCATGCAGGGCATGTCAATGATGATGATTCCCAGAAAACCGACGGCTGTGATGACCCAGGCCCACCCTCCGTCAGGAGGAACGGTGACGAGTTGTTCGTGGTGCTTCTGGGGCATCGCGAACAAGAAGAGTTTCGAAATATAACCTCACCGATTTATCCAAACAGATGATGAGGTTTCAAGGTCTACCAAAATTGGATACTTTTTTTTTTTTTATTGAAAACAAATTGTTTATAATTATCAGAAAATGTAAGTAATGCAAAATTACACTGCCCTTCTAATCCTACAACTAATTATTAAGGAAGTATTAGAAATGTATTTGAACAATGGCTCTTCTTGAAAATTAAATGTAGTTGTACAAGCAGTTTTGTAAAACATTTAGCAAGAAAAGATATCAAAATTTCTCAACATAGATATAATTTTAAAATCAGTTGGAAACTTCTAATATAAATAATTTTACTTCTGTGCAGATAAACTTCAATATGTTTCATTATTTGGCTTCGATCAACAAATTGAAAGACAATTTAACTAATGAAAAGAAAAATATCATGTTGTAATTATGCTCTTTGAATTGAGCCAGTAAACGTTCTCTTCAAAATTATTATCAGTGGCATAGTTAGGGCATATTTTATGAAAAGTTTCTTTGACGAAGCGATTTGGCAAAATATATGTACACTCCATATGACGGCCCATTGAGTGAATCTTTTTGAATAGTATGGTTGGAATTTTTTACATAAAGGACTTTGCTGAAGATTTTATTATTGAAATTCACAAACATAATGCACAGTTGAAAATCATGTCTCTTAAGAAGCAACCAAACAGTATTAATGTTTATAGTTACTTGCAGACTACTAATCTAACCTTTCAGTTTCAAATATAACCAAAATCGTTTTTTAAAAAGGTTTTATTTATTCTTATTTGTATCATTATTATTAATAAATAAATTTTATTTTTTTAGTATTTTATAAATATTAGTAAGTATAAATATTTTAGTATTTTTTGTTTCCCTTTGCCAATTCGAGACAAAAATCAAAAGAGAGTTGAAACTTACGATGAAATGAGATATTGACTGGGACTTGAAGGGGCTAGGAATCTCATACGAGCTAGACCCGCAATGCACTCCGGGGTCACGGGAATGGGTAGGGCCCCATTGACTCGGCGCCATTGAATAAATAAACCGATCAACAATTTATATAATTCTGCAAAATAGGAAAATGAAAAAAAGGAAGTTATATAATCTAAAATAGGTTAAATAAAAGAGGGGAATACAAATAATTTCAAAACACAATCGTGCTGAAATGTACAAAAAGTAACTAATTATTTTTTTTGTCAGTAATAATTTTTCGTTGATTTATTTTGATGAAATTTATAAAAACAGCAGCACATAATACTTTTTCTCAATTTTATAAATAAAAAATTAACATGTAGAAACATTAGCATATGGAGCTTATTCAAAAGACAATTAATCTTATGAATTCTTCACTATGAAAAAATCTGCCCTAACTTATGTATTATTATCTTCGAGACTTATGTGTAAAATAAAATGTTTTTTCAAGATATATCAGGAAAAACATGTAGTAGAGATTAGTTTATAAAGACAGAACTGGTTTTTTGAGTGATAAATATTCATTATAAAGTTTTTATTAGTGTCGACGTTTCAACAAAAACATTTTTAAATACAATTAGAGATATAATATTATACGATTGATAATAGTTAATAATAAACTATAGTGATTGATGGTACATGAATCTTAACTCATATTATAATACAAAATATTACAAATGAAATATTCTATAGGTAGGGATTTTAATTTGTTTTGTATTGAGGTGTTTTAGATGTTGGTTATGGAGATGGTGAGAGATCACGTTTTGTGGGGAGATAGGTGGTTTGGTCGGAAAGGAGTGCAAATAATTTTTCATTGTACTTGGCGGGTCCATAACGACAGTTTTCTTACCTTTGTCTGCACTGGTGACAACGATTTCGTTGTGGGAGTTTAGAAAGGAGCGAGTAGAGGAAAAATCTTTTAGAAATTGTGATGAAAAAGGATGGTGGATTGAGAAGGAGAAGTGAAATTTGGGCCGAAGCTATGGATATTGTTGACGTGAGACGGAAGTTCAACGAAAGAAATGTTATGAACCAAATCCATATATCCACGGTGGTAAACCTTTTTTGAATCCGAGGATATTTGAAGTTGGTAGAATTTTTTCTTTAAAATTGTCTTTCTTAGAGAGATTTAGATTTGTGGTAAATGTTATTAATATAGTTCTTAAGAAGTAACATATGTTCATTTGAGAAATTTTTTGAAACGGATTGTGATGTTATTAAATTTAGGAAGGAGGTTTTTGTTAATTTAAACTTCGTTTGTGTTGTTATGACACAATAGTAATGATATTATATCGATAAATGAATTATTAATTTTAAATAATAATAATAATTATGATGATTTAAAAAAATACAAAATAAATTACAACTTTTAAAGTGTAAAATATTCAACATTTCATTGAAAACTATTCGATCTTCAGCAGGCAACAGTTAAAACTGCAGTCAAAGCGATGGCCACTAAATGTTATGTTAGATATAGGTGGGCACATTCACGAGCACAACTGAGGTCACTCGGGCATAGTGCTTGGGAACTCCTGCTCTTTATGGAGCCAACTGTAATTTTTGCCAACGTTTATTCTGCCTGAGAAAACAAACCTAATGAAGAAAAAATACTCCTGATTAATTTTACTGTTTGATTATTTTTATTTTAAAGATCCAATTTGCTTTTTGAGAGAGGTTTAACTTAATTCTTAGCTTTATCACCTTATTTGAAAATCGCATTTTTTTTTTTCACATTAGCAGTTGGATTGACAATATTTATACCAAAGTTCCGAACCAATCATTATCAAGTAAAACTAAACCATTCATGAAAGATATTTCTGTTGTGTATTTATTTATCCCAGTACGTCCATCATTTTTAAAATGAAATATTATATCTATAATAAATAATAAAATATTGGAGGAATTAAAGCGTCTCCCTGTAATACTCATTGTCTAATTTTCACTGATCCAATGATAAGTTCATCTTTTAAAATTATAATAGCTTATTCGTATTATTCAAGTAAAATGTTTATTATTTCAGAATTCAATCGGAGACTGTGGATTCTTGGCCTCAATTCCATATAATTCAGTAAATCAAATGCTCGCTTAAAGTCGACAAATGTCACAAACAAAACAGTATTGCCTTTGTAGCCTATTGAGATATTCATTTCTAAGTTGAAATTAATAATACTCTCAGCGCAGCCTCTACCTGAACTAAAACCATTTTGTTCTTCTGGAATCAAGTGACGGTCTTCCGCATATTGAATAATTCTGTCAATAGCTAGAATTGTTGTAAATACTTTAAAAACACAATTTATTTGTGCTCTTTCACTGTAATTATCATTAAAATCGCCTTTTTTACGGCCTTTTTGACGGCAACGCCGAAGTAAGAGCCTTGCAGGAGAAGCTGTCAGGCTCAGGAATGGGATCAAGTCGAGATAAGATCTAGGATTCTGCGGAATAAATACATATCTTTCTGAGGATCTAAGATTATTTTGATTATATTTAAAGGTTTTAATCGCATACTTTACGAGCTGATTCAAACATAGGTTCTTTCGCTACTATCCTGTTGTGTTAGCTTAAAATTGTTTACTAATTTTTCATTTTCAAAATTCAATGACAAAAGTCAAAAACGTCCATAAATTCCTTTAAAGCTCCTGCCTTGTGACTATGATAACACTGGGAAGGCTCTTGCCCTAAGCGGTTCTATAAGCACCTGTCTCCATTGACACAGGTCGTTCAATAGCCCATACTTCATAGCACTCCGCCATTCGGAAAGATGTTTGTCAGAACTCTCTCTAGCTTGGAGTAAGTACACCATTGGCCACTAATGTAAATTTTGTTTGAATATTGAATGATAAAAAAGATGTATTCAATTTGTTAGTACTTAGTATAACTAAATATTGATTGACAGTAAAACGGAGAGTTTCGAGAAAATATTTCTGTAATGGAGAAAAAACTGTCATAAAATTTTTCCAATTTGTTATTGGGGTTCGTGTTATATTTGGTGATGTACTATTGACAGTTGTTAACACGAAATTAATAGAGTCCGATTCCTGTTCGCATGATAAGTCGTATTAAAAGAATAATCATTTATCTTGTTTCTATACACGTTTCAACAATGTCAAATCTGAAAAAGCTAAGTATTAAAACGAAGAAATCGTAGTTTTCAGTTCCTCTCATACTAGTTTTCAAACTAGAAAAAAAAATGCAAAACAACCTTGCAATAAACCCTTTTTAATAATAAAAGATCCTTCCGTGTAGTGATTTAATATTTTCAATATTAAACTCCCCCAATATTCAATATTTTTGCCATCACACCCTCGATTTGTTATCAATATATAAATTTAAAACTGTAAAATGACCGTTTATAGGTCTATGGCTGTACAAGGAGATGATTTGACCGAAATCACGCTCAACCGCCAGGTTTTCTCCTTAGTTAATTATTTTAATTAAGAGTACCTACTTTATAGAGGCTGGGTATGCATCAGGAGCGTCACCTCACGGCCAATGAAACAGAATAAATAAATTTTCTGCCGTGAGCCAGGATTCGAACATGGGACCTTTAGCATTGGAAGCTCAGTACCCTACATGTGAGCTCCGCCAGTCCCTGTTTTTTTTTTTTAAAGGAACAAATAAATTAGTTTTAATATTCATCGAATTTTTTTCCTGTTGCGTTTGTGACCATAAAGGATTATTGTATAGTTCTATATTAATGATTTTTGTTGTTATTGATTGTTTGTCTCGATGTCTAGGCGCAAGACATCCAGGTCATCAGATTCGATCAACTAGATCACACTACTTTTATTCTGTTTGAATGGTTGGTACAAAAAATAAGAATAAAAAAAAATAAAAGCTTTGATAGAATAAAATAAATAACTAAAAATACCAATAGACACTTATAGATAATAAGATAGAATAGATACATAAATAAACTTTAAAAAAAAACAATAAATTCAATAAATGAATTGAAATTAATAACCAAATGAACTTTTAAAATAAAAAGAATAAAATGAAATAAAGTAAATAAAAAAATAAAATGAAATAAAGTAAATAAAAAATAAATAAAAAAATAAAATAAAAAATAATAATAAATCTG